GAAGATATATTCATCAATCACAACTAATAGTTTTGAATATGTTGACTTCTTTTTACAATTCAAATTTAAATGCATTACAACTTAGCCACGCAACAATCATAAATATCACTGCATGTGCGTAGGTTAGGGATCATTACTAAAATAGTCTAAGAAATACGTTATTTGAATCCAGCAGGTAAGGTAATACGTCAACTCCGTTGCCCTTTTCAAAATTACGATTACCTTTTCGGTTCAGATTTTTTGATTTTCTGTACATAACTGAATTTGGTGGTCGCTTCGTTTCGATCCTGGTCGTGCCAAAATGGCCGACGCGTATCGCCGGACTCGATCTGGCCAAATTCCGATTCGAGATGATGCTGGCGCTCGGAAAACGAGAAAATATCGTGCATGTTCGGGAAATTTATGGTGTCTCTTCGATCTATTTCGACGGGCTCGTACCTGACAAAATTGCGCGGAATTTTCGATTCGTATTGGCGGTAGTAACCGTCTCGCACATCCTAGAATGCGCGTTTTTTTATTCTGTGACGATTGAAAAATCCGCAAGGCTTACCTCGACGTGAGGATGGTTAGCGAAAATGTCGACATATTTGGCTTTTTTAAGTTTTACGTCCGATGGTTCTCGGTCGTCGAAATGGAACTCGATGACGTCTCCGTTTTGCGCGAACGAGCCGTTTAAACTTAGATATAACGCGAGACACGCCAATGTCGACATCATTTCGACAATATTTGTATCGCGCATTGAAAGAGTGGACGAAGACTACCCAAGCGAGCTCCGTAAAGAGGATCTCTGCTAGGTGCCGTGAAATCGATAAAAAAAAGTCAAAATTACCCGGTTTAGCAGAGCGAGAAATGTCTCACCATGCTCTAAATGATAAAAATATATATTACATTTAAGGTCGTCACACCGCAGTTAAGCGCGATCAAGTATATAGCTTAAGTTCTCCCAGTCTCGAGGTCTTAAGTGATAGATTTTGTTTTCAATTTCGCAGGTTATTAGAATTTTTACAAATGAATATTAAATTAAGTTTACGTTTCTATGGTATCTTAATATCTGCAACGCTCAGTAGGTCCTAATTCTACCTAATAATGCCTTATAAATTGCCCTTGTTGGTCTTTATCAAGCCGTGACGTCGTTAACACGAGTTAAGAATGGTTACACCTAAGCAATTTAATCTAGATTTCAGAGTAGAAAGAATATCATATACTAGGTGTTTCCTAAATCAAATTAGTACCACGCTTGACACTTTTGATGGCGTACATCGACAAATAACTCTTCTGCAATTTAATTTTAGTTTTTAAGCAGTCTAAATTTCCAATAAGCGTTTTACCACACATAGGTATAATATGACCAAAAATATAGTTCATTTATTGGTTTGACGTTTTAAGTATTTTACCGTACCTTAACCGCAGACCTTCGCAGGACCGTGCCAAAGTAGGTTTGCCTGAGATGGACCGTAACGAATATTTGTAGAAATATGAAATTTTTATTTGAAACGTAAATGGACCGTTTTAAATTTGATGCTGCGGGGTATTTTCGAATAAGTAGAAGTGTTTATTTTACTATCTTAATTTGACTGTGATCCTTCCAGTAAGTACGTATTTATGTACCTGATTCTCAAGCTTTGACCCTGCGAGCCTGTTTTCACTGGATAGTTCAAAGGATAAGGGTAAGTACCTGACCTCTAATTATCTTACAGGTAAGTTTGAAAATAATCATTTTTGTCTTGTGTGCCTATCTATTAACAACATTCTTCTTCTTGTATTTTTGTGTCTTCTACATAGTTCTTCTATTTATAAACAACAACAGTCTTTTTTTTTAAGATTATACAAGGTTAGCGCCAAAATTTCCCGGCCTGCCATAGATGCAGGTCCAGTATCACAATAAAACTTTGTCTTCTTTTAAATATATATCTTAGTAGGCTGCAAAAAAAAATTGAAGTCTTGCGTCAAATAGTTTTTTATTGACAGCATTTTAAACAAGACATATCCGAAAAAATGTCGAAAATAGCGCAAATGGAGTATAGAGCAGTCATAAAGTTTTTGACCTAAAATTATTATTCTGTAGTGAAAGAATGCTTTCTGATACAAGTGTTCGTCGAATCCTGCATGATGATTTAGGTATGCATAAGGTTAGTGCAACATGGGTACCTAAAACCTTTCGGCTATTCAAAAACAACGCCGTTTCGAGTGTGCGCGGTCTTTTTTGGAACTCTGTGGGTCGGCACCGAAGCCTGTGATAGAAACTATTGTGACAGGAGATGAAACTATGGTTCCCTATTATGACCCTCTATCGAAAAACGAATCAATGGAGTGGCGTCGTAAGGGTGAAGCACGTCCAAGAAAATTCAGAGCCTGCCAGTCAACAAAAAAGGTGATGACCACAATCTTTTGGGATTGTGAAGGGATTCTTTTGATAGATTTTAAAGAACCTAATACCACTGTCAATGGTACATATTACGCAACATTATTACATAAATTGCGAGACTGCATACTCGTAAAACGTCGAGGAAAACTGACCAGAGGCGTGCGTCTTTTGCACGATAATGCACCTGTCCATACTGCTGGTGTTGCACAAGCCGCAATTTTAGAGTGTGGGTTCCAACCGATAGATCATTCTCCCTATAGTCCAGATATGGTCCCCAGCGACTATTATTTGTTTTGATATTTGAAAAAGGACTGACGTGGACCTCGGTTTAACGACGAAGTTGAGTTAAAAGAGGCTGTTTTAGCTCATTTTGCAGACAAATCAAAAGATTTTTTTTTTAAACACTTTAAACTATGCACCTAAATTTAATGATAGTACCATAAACGTAATTCGTAATTATAATAAATAAGAAAAACTGAACAAACAAAAGAATATAAATAAAAACTGCAGAGTACGTAACAACTAAAAATGATTTTCAAATCGCAGAAACTTTTTACAACTATTTCTCAAACGTGGGGAAAAAATTTGCAAAAAATATTAGAAATCCACAATAAAAAAAACACGTCAGCAGTAATAAACTATAATACAAACTATAGAATCGCCGAAATTAAAAATTAAAAACCTCCTAGAAAATTACCGGTAATATTTATTGTTGAAAAAAAAAATTTTTATTGTATATTATTCATTCTTTACATAAATAATTTGTACGATGTAAATACGTCAGTGACCATTTGACAATTTGTGTGCTTAAATTAATTAACATTTATTTCTTGCATTGCGAGACCTCAGCTTACGTATTTTTACTTTTGGCATAACAGAATGAATTATTAATTTTGTTTTGAATTACAAATGCTAATATTAAAAATGTATAAATATGTTTTATATTTTTTGTATACAGTGATCATTTAAGTGCTCAGCATTGCGAAATCAAATTATAAAAAGACATTTTTCAAGAATGTTAATTTGTAATACATTGAAATTTTGAATTAGAAATTTTCTGAATGGACAGAAACATATACAAGAATTTATATAACATGCTAATGATCAGAAATTTAATAAATGTCTTCATTAAAATAAAAACCGGTCAAACATCCACAATGTCGATTTAAAATAGAACTGTTAGTATTTAAAATATGATGTTTCTGTTTTTTCCAATTTGATTGTAAGCTATTATTCTCTAACGAGCAATGTTTGTTTTTAACATTTTATGATATTTCTTCCAGGACGGCTTGTCGAGTGGCAATGGAAAACGGAGTGTTGTGAATTTGATGAACACACGGATGTATTAAACTAAAATAACTTTATTAATAATGAATACACTTATTTTAAATTAACACTCTCTCTCATGTTGAGTTAGGTTCTATTCTGCACCGTTTCCTCTTCTCTTTTTACAGTGGATAAAATGACAAGTAATCACAACACGGAGAACCATTCTTTCTGAAGAACTGCTAACACAACCAAATGTATATATTTAAAATAGTATTATACATTTCTAGGTTTGTCTTATATTTGTTTTAGCTTTGTTTTATTATTTAAACGAGTTTTTCTATGGAACTGGATAAGTAATAACATGGCAGTAATGAACCAAACTTTTGTTATGTTGCTATATTGCTATCTTATTTAAATATAATAATAAAAGTGTAATTGGAAATTTTATAATAATTATATATTTATTTCTTTAAATAATTATTAGAGTATTTTATTTAAACGAAAGATGGCCAGCCCTCAGCGTACGGTTTGCATCTGAACCCTGAACCTAAAAAATAGTCGTAGCCAACAGAAGTAAAAGAAGAAAAAGAAGAACCTAAAAAATTTAACCAAATCTAACTAAAACAGTCAAAAAAAGAAATCTTACAAATCCTAAAATCTAGTGCAAAGTCAAATCACGCAAAAAGGAGGTAAACAGTGAAATCGTTAGTAACAATCATATATAATTAGAGATGCAGAGGCCCTGTCTATGCCGATAATAAAGAAATTTTTGAAGCAACTATTAAAAAAAATAAAATCTCGTTTTTAATCAATGACCTTGCCGCTGACAGACCGTCAATGTAAGTTTGCATTTTTACGGCACTATTTTCTCAAAATATCCCTAGATCTCGTTAAATGTTCTGGGAAAACGAGTTATGTTTGTGAAAGTCTCTGTTGAAATGTAGAGGCGTGCGCGGAAAATCCTAACCTGCTCTACTTCCCTATTAATATCAATGCCGCCTGCAACGCAACAATTTTTACTGTGGTAAAGTCTGGCGTTCTAAACATATGATTTTGAAAAGTGCCAATGGACAATTTATTTAAAAAACGGTAGGTTTGGCAAAATATAACAAGGAAAAATAAATACTTTTACAGAGCTACATGTTTAAAACCTTTAAAAACAAATTTCCACCAAGATAATCAAGCCCATTTTGGTCGAAAAAATTGCATTGTGTCTAGATAAAAAAAATGCCAGTTAAAAATTTTGTAACAGCAATTTTTATCTGTTAAGAGGATATGCAGAAATACATGTAGAAATTGCATCGTCTCTACCGGGCTCACTACCCATATGGTTTGCCAATTACTTTAACTAACCAACCAATATATTTTCTGTCACTTAAAGGTTATGTCAAAAATTTAGTGGTTTACATAACTTTCTACGTTTGGTACTTAGGAAACGACTAGATCCAGATTTTCTGCAAGAATGTTCCGTACAGTGGCCGCGCGCTCCCAAGCGCTTCTCATCAACGCCCTGAAACCTCAAGCTGCCAGAAACATAGCCACATCGTCGAAACTGCTCCACAAAGAGGTCACGGAAACCGACGAGCAATTCGATGCGCGTTACGAAAACTTCTTTAATAGAACGGACATCGACGGGTGGGACATCAGACGCGGCATTACCGATTTGTGGGGTCACGATTTAGTACCGGAACCCAGAATTCTCGTCGCTGCTTTGAAGGCGTGCCGCAGGGTCAATGATTTCTCCATGGCTGTCAGAATCCTGGAGGCAGTTAAATCGAAATGCGGTAATCGAGCCGACGAGATTTATCCTTGGATAATCCAGGAATTGAGGCCCACTTTGACAGAATTGGGTATTAACACACCAGAAGAGCTCGGCTATGACAAGCCAGAGTTGTTTACCCAATCAGTTTACAACATGTAAAATTTGATTAAGTAAAACAATTGCAAAAGTGGTACTTGTTATAAATAATTTGTAGTAAAGTCATTAAAATATAAGTCACAACTTTTATTTCGTTTTCTTGTCACTAATTGCATTTTTTACCCTTCAGGAAGATTTGTTTAATAATTGATTATTTCGACCATTTCTAAGTATGTTTCCATAATTACCTTGCTTTTAACCAATACTACATTATCTATGGTTTGTACCTAATTGAAACTAACCAAATTCATGATCTGTTGCCCACCAAGGATGCCTGTTTCATGCTCCAATATTTTGTAATAGTAAAAATGTTTTAGTAATAATTGAAACTGGTGCTTTTATTTCACTTTCTTAGATTAAAATGTAACTGGTAAGAATTTAGCTGTTGCATTTTTATAGTTGTCCCTTCCCAATCAAGATAAGTTAGAGTACCACCTCTCAGTTTTTTAAATTTGTTGTAAAGGTATGAACGAAAAAACAAAAACCTGATATGTTTTTAAAATCCTCCCTTTTACAGTAGTGACAAATTGGGAGGCTGGAATGGGAAATGTTACTGTTCTAGGACAAGGTAAGTTATTTAATTTTGTCTCGTTTTTCAATATTCGTTACCTTGATGTCGGATAAACGGAGGATATGTTAATATGAAAAAAAGACTATATTTTAACTATAAATTTTATTATAGAGAAAATAATACAAATATAGTTTTTACTATAGTACTTCAACATCTGCTCTCATATTTTTGTTTTTGGTAACAAAGGCACGTAATTTTGCTATCTTCTTAAAGGGATATGTAAAGAAAAATATTATCTGGCACAAAAAATAAGGAGAGGAAAAGCTTATTTTTTACATGTTGTATATACTGCGACTGAGCAAAGGATAAACGAGATCTCCGGTATTTTAAGGAATGCCTTCCTCTTGGCCATTCTGCGATAGAAATAAAACGCCAAATAATAAGGGTGGCAAAAATTACGCTAAAAAAGGGTGGGGGGGGGGATAACAACCGCCTACCTTTAATTGACTAAATAAATACAAAAAAAAATTATAATATAGTTGACACGACTTCAAAAATAGGAAACACCTAACTTTCCCTGGGTAAATGAAAACTAAAAATTAACAGAAATCTGTTTAACGTTAAATTATATCTGATTAGCGCTCGACGATATGCTAAACGTGCAATACAATTTTTCCTCGCTGCAGCTCAAATATTGCCAGCAATAGAAATCATTTTTTTTTTAAAAACATTGTAGTAATCACGAAAGGAGAATCGGAATTTTTGGACTAAATAAACTGTAGTTTGTTCTAACAAAAAATTCTTAGCCGTCTTTACTATTATATTGCTTCTCACATTATTCCCAATTGTGAAAACGTGAAACTAACCAAAAATGCCCACATAACCATTAATAGTTATGGCATAACCTGCTAGCACCTAAAAGCATATCTTCGATATCGCATCATATGTATATCTGATTTATAAAATCTGCTTAGAAAATATTTAGATTTGTAAAAAAAAGACTTGTGTAGGTACTTTAGTAACGACTCTGATATTAGCTAGTCTTTCTCTTTAAGTTCCGCTTTATCGAGGACACTGTCTTATCCTGTATCCTTTGCCTCAGTGAACTTTTCCTCGCCGGCTGCTTCTTGACTGCCTTGCTTGCGGGTGACTTCTTCAAACCACCTTATGGCATTTCAAAAAAAAATTATTTTCTTTCCCCAACAAACTCTTTCACATAATCAAAACAAAAATCCTCCATCACTCACCTTTTTTCACTTCTTTGGTACTTGGCTTCATGCTCCGCAAGCTCATGCCCGCTGACGGCCTACGGCAGCTCTCATTCTCCTTCTTCGGCGACTTTTCCTTCCTACCGGTGTTTCTCTTCTTGCTGTCTTCTTCTATTTTCTGCCTCTTCGACGCGTTCCTCTCAGACTGCCTCTTAAAATGACTGATCTTACTGGCGACTGTCACTTTCGCAGGTTTCTTTTCCACCTTTTTCCGTTCCTCTACTCCCTTCTCAGTTTTCTTGGACCTCAGCATGACTTTCTCCAAAACCGTTTTGATCTTCTTTGTGGCCAATTGCTTCTTCATCGCTCTCTTCTTCTTAAACCTTTTTTTCTTACTCTTCGTCGGTTTATCGGCTTTGAGATTCACCACATGGTTGTTGTTCTGCTCTGCTAGCCTTTTGGCCTTTTCCGCTTCCTCCGCCAGCCGTTTCAGCTTTTCTTCCGCTAAAGTGCAAGGAGCTACTTCCCTGTCTGTCATGTCTTCCACCAGACCAGTTCGCTTCTGGATGTGAGTGATTCTCAAACTTTTCCTAATGCTGTGGCTCAACTCCTCCCCCTCCAGCTTCCTTTTCGTGGTCCTCCTGTCTTCTACTTCCATCATCGTCGTTGTCGTCGTGTTTGTTGTTTTGAATACGGCCTTGTGTTTTTCTTCAGAGCTTTCCTCTTCACTAGTCTCTTCTATGTTACTCGAAGATATTTCATTGATTTGTATAGTATTGTCTTCCATTTCCTCCGAGTTTTCCTTGTTATTCTCGGTACTGGGCCTGAAAGGCTCCCGCGGATCAAAACTTGTACTCTCGCGTAATTTTGGGGTAAAATTCCATTCCTTCAAGGGTAGAATATCGGATCCCTCGCTGGAGGTGACTGACGAGGCATTGTCCGTTAAATGTTCTTTTTTTGGTGGTTCTTCATTGTCTATGTTGGCTTGTGGGTTAGGAACTTCGGTGATGGGTTTGGGGGCGGCGTCCTCCTCCTCTTCCAAAACTGTGTTTTCTGGCACTTCGGTTGTTTGTACACTTTTCATACAATTATTGCTGGAGTTCTCTTGAGAACTGTTACCATTATATCTGGTCATTATTTTGAGACCGCTTTCTGGTAAGTTTTTCTTGCGATCTTTTAACACTTGAGCTCTCGGTGGTCCGGGAGGATCGAGCATTAGCGTGACAACGGACGTATTGTCGGCTCGCATTTTGGTAGCATGCCACAGATCCAAAGCTTTTTCAACCAACAATTTGCTTGGATTAAGCCACGTTTTGAAGGCGGAATCGCTTAAGGCGGCACATTCGTTATGGCGTTCCGCTTGTTGCACAATATGGACAGCCATCGCGCAGCTTAACATGTTAAAAAGACCGTCGGTACCTAAAAACCATTTTATATTCACCAAGGAAACAGCGATGAACCACAACCTACCAAAAATCAAACATCTATGAACGTTTGTATCAATGGGTATGACAGAACAATCGGGATCTGGTGATACAACAAACTGATTCAGCTGAGAGTTATAAGACCACAGATCTCCCAAACTTCTTGCCACTGCTAAAAATGGAATTTCATCTATAGGAGTTGATCTTCGAACCGGTCCTTGGTGTCCGATTTTTGGTCTGTTCCATACAACTCTTGGCACTCCTATAGCAATTATTAGGTAAGTTAAATAAAACTGTGGTACATGTATAGGGTATTTGGTTTACCAGATTTGGCAACGACCTTGCCACCGCAACTTTCAATTCTCTTAATTTCCTCTGGATTTTCTGGCTTATGATCTCTAGTCAGAGGCTTTGCTTTCCATTCTGTACTTCCAGGCTCTTGGTAACCTAAAATATAGCAATAAATAAAACAGACGTCCATCTATGTTCGTTGAAACTCACCCAAAACGATACCCGAATCACCGACATGTCCCACATAAATTTTTCCGCGCCTTATAAATGCTACAGAAGCTGTAGTTCCCGCCGTGCTCGGCAAACCAGACGTAGTCTTCGGCCACTTTTCTGCAAAAACAACGGGCATGAAACTTTACCCAATCTTATGTCTCCCAAACAAACCCTGTTCTCTCCACATCGCATAGTGGGTTGCAATATACCCGTCTTTAATAGCTCGGAGCACATCATCATCATTGTCAGACCAGAAGTTTTTGTGTTTTATAATTGTCTCCATTAAGTGTTCCTTGGCAAAGGCGGCAGCCTCGGCGCCTCCATGACCGTCGTAGATTCCGAAAAACGCGTATTCCAAATCTTTTTCGTCTTCAGTCTGCTGATAAGCCACCGTAAAGAAGTCTTCCATATATTTACGACCACCTTGGCGACAGTGGCCAGTAACACGCAGATTTACACCGATGGAAGCCGGCATACTTGGAATTTTCACATATAGGTGGCTTAATTAAACCCTGAGGACGACTATTCTTGAAACGAGAACGCAATAAAGTGTTTTTATTTATTCAAACTTCACGCCAGCAATGTTTGTGCTCAACTGTCAATTGTGACTTTCTTAAGTGTGCCGTTCGCTACGACCGACGCTGCACGAACTCGAATTGCCAGTATTTACGGACGAACGAAAGACGCGTAAGAAACGTAAGTCGCTGCTTACTTGCTCTGAGAGTTCTGCGTCATTTATCTGTTGAATGCAATATTTTCCACTTCGAATGGCGGCAAATTGAAATGTGCAAACTTATCTCGTTTATGTATAAATAAATCAGCAGAATTATTTTCAACAATTTATTTATTAAAATTAATGCAATCTTTTCAATCGACTTCTAGTTTTTTGAAAGTTCCATCGAAACCGAACAAATTGTCGGCATTTTTTCTCGGCCCGCTTCGCTTGGATTCGTCCACGAGCATGGAGTCTTGGAAATCGAAGAACCATTGGTTGTCATAAATGGATTGTTTATATTTTTCTGTAAATATAATAATATAATTTCAACGCAATCATCGCGTGGAATTTAATAGGGAAGCGTAGGTTACCGTTTAAAACTGCCAGGGGTTCGCCTTTGCCCCCGTAATCAGAAGGCATACACTCTCTAGGAATAAAATTGTACAGGTTATCATTATTCGAGTGGATGTGCAGCTAAAAAAAAACTAAAAAACACTAAATCTCAAAAACAGCTAATTTACCTTTTCAAATAATTCTTTATTAATCAGTGGCTTGATTAGGGTTAATATTTTATCCATAAATGGCACCACGTTAATGAAATGTATGGCCATCAGCCTAATCGGCATTGCGGTCTAAAAAAAACATTTAATTGCGCTTTTCGTTAAAAGAGGGTTGCGTATTTTTTGTAACCTGCAAGTAGACCATGAATTTTTTAAAATCCGACAGGTTGATCTTTGTCACGTGCCCAAACACTCCCCCTTTCATGTCCATGATTACCATGATGCCGTTGGTGGGGCCCTTGGTGTGCTGCTGCAAGAGCGCGACCATATCGAAAATTTTGTGCCCCATCACTGGGCTGTAATTCTCCGGATTCGTGTCCATTAACCTCGTAATAAAAATCGTGTACCCCTCGGGGGACACTTCAGGCAACACCGACAAAAATCTGAAAATTTAAGTGTGCTGTGGCAGTATTGGAATGATTTTAAGAAGAAAACATCAATGTATATCCGAACCCTATAGACGTTTGAGATGCATAGTGGCGAATTTTTCAAAAAAAAAATATTCCTTTGTAAAATTTTGAAAAATTTACAAGGTTAATGTTATGTCAGTACTAAATTTTATTTTATTTTTTAAGAAAACTTCTAGATTACTTTCTGGTTTCTGGTAACTGCATTTTTTGCATCGTAGATGCACATCACTGTTGTTTATTTCTACCACTGGTTCGTGATTTGTATCGCCTATTTTTGAAGAAAAAAAATGCTACTCCACTGGCATTTTTTCAGGTTAATATTATTTTATTATGAAATTAAAAGTGATACATTTGTCTACATTAACTAAAAAGTTTTGAAGATACATCCCGGAATAAATTATGGTGAATCTGCATCTTATTCGTTCATTTTTTTTTTGGGTTCAAGAATTATTATGGTCACACCACCAAGGCACACCCTGAATAGTGTAGTTTTGAAATAAAAAAATTTTTTCAAATTGCTTTCCTTTTGAACCGCGTGAAAAAATGTTGTAGCCAAAAAAAATGTTTTTTTCTTTCTCACGTAAACAGGCATCTTCTTCAACTAGATATGCATACAGTCCAAATTTCAAAACTTAAACCAAATTTCAAAACAGCCTGTTGACATTTACAGATGCATTTAAAAATATATTCTTAGAAAAATGACGTTGATACCCTTGAAAATCAGAATTTTAGACTTTTTTGATAAAAATACAGGGCGAGCAGTTATTACAGGTTTTACATTAAAAACTGGGACGCGTTGTATAAAGGGTGTTTCAAACCCGCTGAACTGATTTCTAGAATATTAAAAAATATTTTTAATAATAATAAATTAGTATTCTAAATAAACATGTGCCCAAAAACGCCTGCTGGGGCTTCAAAAATTCCTGTTTCATAAAAGTTACTTCTGACAAAATTGTAATATTTTTTACATTAGCGTCGCTAAAGGTGCCAATTATTTTGCCCCTAATCCTTTCCTTATGGGGATATTTGTAATATTTTATACAACTTTCCATAAAAAAAAAACGCACTCTTGCTTAAGGTAAAAAAAATACTGGCTTTTATAGTTCAGAGTTAATTATTTAACGTAACTTTTATATTATATTATAATCTCTGGCAATGTTTATTTCATAAACGACTTGAAGTAAATTTTGAACTTAAATATTATTTTATTTTTTTGAAACGCCCTGTATATATTACATGTTAACAAAAAAATCAAATCAAAAATCAAAAATACGGAATCCGTGAAGGTTTATAAAGTAGGTTTTGTACACCGCGGTGTATATACTTACGAAATGTTCATGTTGGTTTTTAATGGCGGATTTTTTTGCGGATTGGAATTGGCGAAAATTTCTGGACAGTGCGTCCGGATCGTGAAGTAACTGTCCAAACAATTTTTGGCCGCTTCGACCCTGTAGAAACAGCTGTGGAGGGCCAAAGTCGCTTGCAGCTCTGTAGGTTGTTGAAAATGTAAAATTAGTCCTAGTAATGGAAAACGCAGTTACCTGTTATTTTGGGCAGGTGCCTTTGCTTCTCGGCCCAGTCCATGATTATACCGACATCTTCTTTTTTGAGCTTAGCGTCCCTTTTGTAAAGCTCGTTGACATCCAGGAATTTGTTCATTGTACGTCGATTCTAAAAACTGGGCTCGATAGATTAGCGTCTCAATAAATGTATAGCTCACTGGTTCCTGAAACGAATTTACGATAATAATACGTAGCGACAAGCCATGTGTTGTTTTAAACACGTAGAGGATGTCCCACCCGATAAAAGTACTGTCGGATCTCGGATCAGATGTATATTTACTGTCGAAGTAGAAGTGTGAACTAGAAAATCTACGCCGCTGGTGTAATTATGCATTAAAATTGCATGTGTTTTTTGGTTTAATTATTATTTTTATGATCCGGTAAATAAATAAAATGTATTAGTGTTGGATCTCCACATCTACAGGATGTCGACTTTTATTTAATATTTAAAGATAATCGATGGATTTTTTGTTTTAAAAATCATGAAAACGGCTTGCATGATTCATCAGGACGATTAATATTTATACTTCCAGTGAGGATTGATGGTTAAATGGATACATCTGTAAAACACAGACCATAAACGCAAACATCGTAATTACATCGCAAACTACTAAAAAGCTAAGAAATGTATAAAGGAGAATAAACGACAAATTAACGGCGTGGTCTACAGTTAATCATTGTTATGAAATAATGATATATCATAGATGTATTTATGGCTCTGCCAAATGTTTATCTAGTCCGCGTTTTACACCACTTAATTATGAATCTTGGTGGAGGTATGAAACACATATTAATCGTTCTAGTGAAGCCTACCAACCCAGGCGAAAACTTGCCTTTATGATAAAAAGCTGTCTAACTGTGAGGATTAATATCATTTATCCGCTCCTTCCACTATATCAGGAGTCCATGTTTTATAGGTATAACTCCAATTTTAGATAATATGATATACGTGTTGTTTTATTTAAAATCCCAGAGCACTTTTAAAATGTTTAAAATATGAAGACACTCACAAATTGGTTGCCTAAATATAATTTGTACTTGTCGTTTATTTTTAAAATTTATTTGCAAAGCAGCTCTCTGATTCATTGTATAAGTTAACAAATTGATTAAAAAAATATAGATACCGATTGATTGGAATACGGGGCGTTTCAAAAAACATACACCGCCTGAAGATTCGAAATCCAAAAAGACGATAAAATGTCTAACCATCACCCTCAACTGTGCTAATTTTATCTACTGGACGTGCGTGTTAAAAGTCGTTAAAATATTTCAAACCGGTCAATGTTTTGTTGGAACGAACCCATGATATTGAAATGAAGAAAAAATTCATTGAAAAATGTAATAGATCTGATTATCCAGTACAATAATTATATTTTATTATGTAATTTGTAATTTAATGTAATCACCGATTCGGTTAAATTTAATTTCTTATTAAATTTTTCATAATTTATTACTTACCTCGCGGCTCTCGAAAAAACTTTAATAATAATCTCCGTCGAGACGTTTTCGAAGCGAAGCTGGTAAAAAAATGTCCCGATTACCTTTAAACTTTGCCCAAAATGTAGAGACCTAAGCGTCACGGTCGCACTCACACGAACGTATCTACCTACTTATTTTAACGTTATTTAAAGTCGCAATTATTGACGATTAATTGCAGAATAATTACACGTACATACATGTTTCCGTTTCGGAATACATTATACTACGTTAAACCGAATAACTTTCCGTTGTTTTTAACAATCGCTCTGATTATTATATTTAACTTTTGCTCAGAGGCGCGATACCCCTACAAATTTGCTGCTGTAACCATCAATTCTTTTTTTACTTGATTTCAGGAAGAAAGCGAGTGAACAACGCTTTATGGGTAAGTACGACGAAACTGGTTTGCCATGTTCTAAGCTTCAAGAATTAGTTATTGCGTAATGCACCGACATAAATATACGAGAGAACCGTATAAACAAACCCATCTGCAATGTACGACTTCGGTAACAAAAATTCCTCTTTACACAAAACCATAACATGGCCTCCAAAAAGAACGCGAATGTGATACGATAGCATTTCACGCGCGTTGTCATAATGGGCCTATAAGAACAACACGAAAAAAGCTACCGCCTCATCTTTATCTATGAGCGGCTAAATCACAAGTTACGGTCCTGATTTGATTGGACGCATCTATATCGGCGACTGTGATTGAGGTTATGTTTCGTTTTTTAAAAACATTTCATTTGTTGAAATGGGTATTGTGTGTCTTGTTCAACTGCGAAGATGTTATGTTTTATCAAGCACATCAAAATATTAACGATAAACCAGTTAAAATGTTGTTTGTGGAACACACTTGTTATTAAACAAATAGTGGACTGGATTTCAAATCTTGATATTTTGATTTTATTTGTTCTTACGAAAGGACGAAATCAAAATTTGTAGGATAAACTTTATTAATGGAAAAACAGGTCATTAACTTATTGGAAAGTAAAGTCGATATTAAATTCATTAGGTATAATTGAAAACTTATACGATTCACCTAGCAGTTCAACTTATTCTCTTTTTAAATTTCATATAATGAACATGTAATTAACAAAATCGAAAAACAAGCCAAGGAAAACGATAAAAATCATTATAAAAAGCCAACTGCCTTGGAAGTTGTAGAAATAAAGGCAGATTTAACAAGTAGTTTTAAGCAAATATATGTTTCCCCCATAGCATAGATCTAGGCATATTTTGAGAAAATACTGCCGTAAAAATGCCGCATCTAAACTGACGGTATGTCAGCGGCTATATTGGTTAAAAACAGAATTTAAATCTCGTGCATGCGCAAGTTGAATCGCCCTTCTCTAAAATTTTTTCGACAAGTTCCTCTATTACAGACATAGGCAGGGCCTCTATATCTCTAGTAGCTATATGATTTCCTGAAGTTTTTCATTAGATTATAATTATTTGCGGTAAATTAAACGTAACTTGTGACTTAACAGCTGGTGCAAATTTCGGGAACTAATTGTAGGTGATTCATGTTACAGAGGCTTAGACAAAAAACATTTGTTGAAGTGCGTAATCGGCAGGTCTGTGATGCCGTACCTTGCGACTGTCTTTAGCCGATAACGCAACGAAAATGAAGAGCAAGGAAAAAGATTATTTTATTTTGTGGTTCAGAATTTAGGAGGTTTAGTCTCGCAAATTTTTTTTTATTACCTAACCTATACTAAGTATCGCATAATTAATAACCTTCGCTCGTTCCCGGCGAAATCCTGTGTATTCGGCGCCGCTGTTTTTGTTGTTTACGCCGGTTGAAAACCGCATGGTTTGTGGATTGGTAACCAACTAGGAAAATTATAGAATATGTGTCGGTGTGTGACCGAAATGTCTACAATTTTCGACGGATATCGGCAATGGGCGAGTGTCCAGAGTAAGTGTGCTGGTTTTAAAAACAAAAAAGAAGATGCTTCTTGCAAATTACAATTTTCGTGCCCAACAGAATTAGTGAAAGGCATAATGGAATTGAATGAAAATTAGAATTTGTTTCTGACAGTGATCAACAGTGTCTTGGTGTAAAACACAACACTGCGAGTTATACCATTTGTGCGGTACTTCGATAAGACAGGATGACGATTTCGAAAAGTACGCTTCGCGGATCGAATCGCATTAAAGAAAATGATAAAAGGCGCATTGTGGACGAGACATCGCGGAAACGCCGTCATCGTAAAATTATGGAACTGCTGGAGTCTGACAATTACCAGGATGACCCCCATGCCGATTTGGTTATGAGCAAAAAAGTGCCTAAATTTGATGATAGTTTGGAACAGAGATCGGGTAGAGCGAAAAAGAAAGAACGATCTGTAGATTATTATCAATTCAAGTATCGCAAAAATTTCCAACAACTTGTAGATGAAGACAGGACAGAAGCAGAGGTAAATAGTAGGGTGTCGTATATGGACATCCAATGTGAAGAATCCTCTTTGCCGGCGAGACGTTTTTGCGCGGTTTGTGGATTTTTTGGTCAATATAACTGTTTATCTTGTGGAACTAGATACTGCAGCATTCGATGTATGGATACTCACATGGATACTAGGTGCCTAAAGTGGACTGCTTAGAGTAAATACCTTTTTTCTCGCTAAAATTTTGTGTTTTACATGTTATTTGTTTTCATTCCTTTTTAAGTAAATATTTATGTAGTAACTTTGATATTTCTTTATTTACAAAGTTATTTGCAAAATAGTGTATTGTGTAATAGTAATTTAATTTTGTGACAAATAAAGTGAGTTCAGTAACTTTTTGATGCACTGTGACTGTGAAAATGAAATATCTCGCCTCCACATATGTTCTTTAATAATTATTAAAAACAAAAAATAAAACATTATCCACAAGCTTCTTTTGCCTTTTTCTTTTCATCTGCTTCCCTTGCTCTTTTCAACTGCATTTCTTTTTGTTGTTGCAACACCTTCCTGAAAGTGTTTTCTTCCTCCAAGTCTACTTCGGCTAAAAATAGGGATTATTTAGCAATCTCAGCTTTGCATCAAGTTTTGTTCTTACGTGTGAATGGTTCTTCCTCTCCCTCAGAATCTTCACTACTATCCCCATGACGTAGGTAAACGTCAGAAAGTTCGGCACCAGATGGCACCACTGTCAACAAAGATTCCTTCAGGTCATCACTTTTTTGCTTTTCCTTCTCTTTTTTTTTCTTTTCACTCTGAGCTTTAATTTTCTCCCATTCATCGCGATATTCACTAAAAAGGAATAACATTAAAGAAAATCGATTGGTAGCAACAAAGCAGTTACTTTTCATATTCAATTCTACATTGTTCTACCAGTTTATGTAACTCTTCCATTCCTTGTCCTGTTGCAGCGCTAACTCCACAAACCTTTAAATTTTTGTAGAACTCATCTAGTGCCAAAGCCATAGACCTTGTTAAATTACTTATATAACTTTCATCGGCCTCCAAAGCTTCATGGAAACTTTCAAAATCAGTCATCCAATCTTTTGCATATGAGTAATCTACTATATCTACTTTATTCATGACAACTATAAAAGGCAGTCGCGTTTTGTACAAAATTGAACAAGCATAGAGCATATTGGACATAAACGTGACTGGAGCAGTACTCCTGACGCAATCCACCACATAAAGGATCACTGTTGGAAAACTTGACGCCAAAGCCTCAGTTATAATTGACCCTAATACATATTAAACTCTGAGTTGGGAAATTACAAAATATACCTTTATTTTACCTGATACAGACCATGCAAAAACTTCAATTTGGCCGGGAGTATCTAATACACAAAATTCGTTTGGTATTTTCTCAATAAATCCCATAACTTCCGGAAATTTTGTTGAAAACAAGTTTAAAGAAGTGACAATGGCTCCATTGGGTCCTAATTTATACTGTTTCATCACTTGTTTGTAATTGACAGTATCTCTTACGTCTATATTGGCGGAGTATGGCAAGTTAATACAAGCAGGATCTAAATTAATCACATAGGGCTTATTGCTACCAGCCGGATCCGCTAATCTAGTGACTAGAGATGTTTTACCGCTTCCTGCCATTCCCAATACTAACAGACAAACTGGAGGTTTCTTACGAGACGTTTCAGAAGTTGTGCTTGGGGTTTGATCCATTCTCATCAATTTCTTTTACGAAGGCAATAAATTACAAATATTTAAAATATATAACCTCTGCATTCCTCATTAAATCTTCCTCTTATTTCTGTTGGGGCAACTTGCTAGGGTCATTCGGCAAATTTTTTTTCGCCAAAAATGGGCTATCATAATAATTTACGCATAATAATCATGTTAGCCTTTCCCGTTAATTAGACTACTTCAGAAATACATCTATGGTTTAATGTTTGAACATATTGAGCTGTATTTTGTTGGAAATAATACATTATGGCTAAATATTTAAATAAATGCTTCCTGATTCGTAGATACATTTTTTATAAATTTCCCTCGTTTTACTTTGATAAGTTATCGGGTAAAACATTTTAATAAACTATTGCGTGGAATTCTTTTTATTTTTTACGTAGCGAAATTATTTATTTGCTATCCTAAAGAGAGTTTCATATTTTCAGCGTCCCAGTCATGAGTACATGTTTTATTATATTTTGTTCGGTTTTTGGTAAGACTTTCAAATTGATCCGTAAATATAGGACCCCGTGAATTTTTCGTGATTCTTTTTATGTAGTTTTCGTGTCCCTGGCACCAAATAAAGAAAACCAACCCAATGTTTCAAGTAAGCCAATTAAGTTTTTGCTGTTTGTGCCTTTTCAATTTTCTTTTATAGGAGATGGAATAGGAGACTTATTTAACCCCCCTAACATAATTGAAAACGTAGCGAATCAAATTCCAGGTAGAGACTAACAAAAAAAGAGATACCTCAATTATTAAATTATTTTTAGGTAATTCACCAATTCAAGGCATCGGGGATATATTTAATCAAACTAACAGTAAAAATTCAAGTTTTTTGGACAAGGTGAAATTGTTCCTTGTGACAGTACAAGGAGTTGTAATGCCCGCGAGTACTATAACTAGCGGATTTTCCAATTTGGTGCAAGGTTTGGGAAATGTAGGAAATATTTTCCAAAATTTTGGACAAAATCTAAATATAACAATGATACCACAAACATAAAACCAGAACTTTGTGTTAAATAAATGTATTGTTTTAATCCAATCATATATATGTACACAAAACCAAAAGTGCTAAAATTAAATTAAATTTTTTGACAACAAATTAGTTTATTAAATAAATAAATAAGCAGATTTAATTAATGGCACACAGCAAATATTCTTTATTGGTCATCATCAGATGTGATCTCGCTAATCCTCATAAACTATTTAATATAAATGCTCAAAAAATCTGTATATTATACAAAGATAGATCAATAGTTTCCAGTCTATTCAGTTGCTCCATAAGAATTTTGAGCATTTTCCAATATTCCCAATAGATTAGTTAATCCCTAATATTAAATACTTGTCCTACTTTTTATATTATAGTGCTGGATCTTTGGCTATTTTTGAGGCCATTTCTGCAAGAGGTTCCAATTCCTTCCTACTAACCAAATCAAATTCTGTTACAAAGTAATAGAAATGTTTGTAGCAAGTGTTTACATGGGCTTCCTAAACAAAAACAAATTAAGAAACTAATTAAAAGTTCATCTAGGTGTGGTCACTTACCGCTTTAATAGCAACAATGTTCTGGAAATGATGAATATAAACATGGACAAATACTCTGTGCAGCCTGGCCAAAATTTTGCTACACTGGGCAACAAAATTTTTAGGAAAGGGCAAGTCATTGGTACAAGGAAACAATGCCTGATCATTTATTTGCATTTCTACCCAATCCATTAATAAATTTACATAATCTCTAGCAGGTAACTTGGTGGGTTTTTTGTACTTGTCACCATCTGCCCATAGATACTCAAATCTAACACCTCCCGACATTGTTGGACAAGTTTGTTCGGTGCAATACTCCCATATTGTGCCATATATCAAATTTATCCTATTGAAGAAGTCGACCACTAAAAAAGTATATCAAATCAACCCTCTGAAAAGCTCTGTGAGGGCTTGTTTTACCATGCACTGCAATCCAATCATTTAAATCTTCTCCCTGCGGCAATTTGACTGCACCTCTTAAATTAATACCCGAATTCAAACTGGCGCACGCATGTTTGTGTAGACTGTATCTGATAGTTCCGTGGGCGAATTTTTTCTTTGGCCTGAAGGTCTAAAATTAGATTTGCATAATATATGGTTTTGAGTCACTATCCAATCATTACATAACGATATGCCCGAATTGATCTGGAAATCGTTTCCCGATACAAACCTTTCCCTTCTGGAAAAACTCCAGGAAATTATTTAGAGCCATTTTTTGAAACGATAAAAACACAAATTGTAAAGACGTCACAGCATTTGAGGTTAAGCAAACTAAAATATTTTGATTACTGACATCACCATAGATCCATTTTTTTCAAAGGGGTTAATAATCAGCCTCTTCTTTTTTTTCTTTTGCGTTAACGGACTATATACAAATATATACAAATTCAAATGAAAAGGTTCAAGTATTTGCGATTCGGGTTGTATTTCCTATATTTTAAAAATTGGTAATAAATATGACTTGGATTAGCCCTTTTAAAAATAAATTGAGTGCCATCTACTGGGTGGATAGTCACTTGCGAATTTTAAGCCCTCAGTCAGAGCCACCTGTGAAAAAAATTTGCCAAGATGTAAAAATGGCGTCCCAGTGTTTGTGTAGAATAATTTTCGCAAACAAACCAAATTTTGATTAAACGACCTGATTTTATATACCTTCATTTGAAAATGGTAACGTATTTAGTAATTTAAAATGTCCGAGAACCAGTAAACCGTTAAAAATTTGGAAATTGGAATGAATTTGAATACATGGTGTTTTTGCGCCCAATTGTGAATGAAAAATGCACTGAAAATGGAAACGAAATTGTGCAGGATATGTGGAAGAACCGGCCTGAACTTTCTGCATATATTTCAGACCGAAGGCTTGCGAAATAAGATTGAAACTTGTCTGCCAATTGTTGTAAGTTGAATGAATTCAGCCCTTGAATTTTTTTTGAATGGATTGGATGCATTTTAGGTCACCCCACATTGTCTTCTACCAGAAACTATATGTGGAGAATGCCTGGAGTGTGTAGAAAATTTTTACAATTTTATCAAAAACTGCCTGCAGAATATCATAGTTTTGGAAACCCAGCTGGACATTCATGAATCTTGCCTCAAAACAAAGCGGAAAAAGGATAAAAGTTGTTGGGCTGCATTACCAGTAGAAAACAACACGCAGTCCATACAAACTGAAGACTATTTGGATATTTTGCTAGGCGAAAACAAGTTACCTATTCATGATTTTCCGTTAACTTCCACTTTTCTAACACAATCTTTGAGGAACAGTAAAAGTAGCAAGATTCTAGTTGATTATGACTTATCCAACTCCAGCACTGATTCAGAAGATGAACAAAGTACAGGAAGAGTTATTTCAGGTGATAAAATAACTGCCTTGAGCCAGTTAAATGATTTAGTAGGTGTGATATTAGGTAAAAAGTACAAACAGACATATTTAGATGATGCAGGGAACACATTAATACATGAAATATCAGAACGCAAAAATTTGAAAAGAAAAAGTAACACTATAGAGAATTCCCTGACTAAAATATGCAGGTATGATTCTGGGAATAGGCGCAAATGTAAGCAGCCTCAAAAAGTTGAAAAACCTTCTGATGAATTACCAGAAAATAAGGTTACCATAAAGGAAGAAGAAGATGATGGGGATGATAGAGGTGTGGGAATGGAGAGCATTATGCTACCCCAGCATTGTTTGTTGTGCAGCATTCAGCTAGAAGGGCCAGCTGCTTTGGCGGCTCATTTCGTAGAGTGTCATGCCAAACAATATGCTGGCCCTCAAGCAAATACCCTGCTAGATCCAGTAAAGTCCTCTCCTGAACCTAATGTCGAAAAGAAAAAGAAATCGATTCCTAACTTGGTCAAGATATCTGATTTAAGAAAAAGTGATTCTGCAGGTAGGTGGGAACTATACAACAGATCCCTGTTGAAGTTTAATGAAATAAATTTTAATGAATACCTATTTGTATTACCTTATCTATGGCTTGGTTATAGAGAGATTTTATATTTTTCTGATCCTTTTAACATTTAACAACAATGGTATTAATAATCCTTACTAACTGTGATTAAGGTGTTGCAACAAACATTCTGCCATGCGAATTTAACTGGCCAGTCACATTTATGGGATAAAAGAATTACATCTTAACATACTGTTAAAATAATGTTGTGCAGTGGATCTAATTAAAATTACATGTACACATTGTTTATATTTAACAGTGCCACTATCGAAGAATAAATTAGTGAATAGCTGTAGTGTGATTAGTTTTAAAAAATCCAGTTTTTCCTCTTTTCCACTGGGTTATTTAGGGCTAGGTATAACAGCTCAAAAATTCCGGAATATTTTTTTAAGGTTCAATTTGAGCTGCTAATAGTTGGTTAGGCAAACCAAAACTTGCTTTAGTTAGGAAATTATTATAATGGTATCGAATAATCAACATAGAGTATTTCCTGCCAACCCCATATTTAAAAATTCACAAAAAAATTTATAACAAGAGATTCGATCCCGAGCTTCATATTTTTGCATGTATATTTTTCATGTAGATATTATACCATACCTACTAGCAAATTGCAAAAAATTGGGCAGAGAAAATTACCATTTATTTTCCCGAATTTATCCGTGAAAGTCGGCTCAAAGCGTTTGTTTTCATAAACTTATGAAAACCTTTATGAAAATTGTAAATAACTAATACATAATAATAATAAAAAAAATGTTCATGCAGGTGAAAAATTTCGCCTCCTAAACATAATTTTTAATAATGTCTGCGGACAATTGGTTTGAAAAACTGGGTATTGCAAATTGTAAGATTATAAAATAAGTTAATAAAAAATTTGTTCAAAAAACTATTTCAATATGTAACATAATATAAGAACTAAATGTAAGAGACTTGCACATAAGCAGTTTTAGTTTATTTTATTCAGCATTTCTCTCGCTTTTAGCATATGGATTATAGATTTTCCTTGTGCGCCCACAATTTAATATATGGGAGGTAAAAAAAATTCTCAACATCTGCATGTTTTTAAAATAATCATTTTTATCCGTCAAAAATACATGTAGAAATACATGTTGAAATTGCCTGTCCACCGGGCATTACAAAGATGTGTGCTACATGTGTTTTTGTTTTAATTTTATAGATGATGGACCACCTCAAGAAGAGCATCCATCACATTCTATTCCGAGCTTCGAGTGTCCCAACTGTCCAGCCGTGTTTACCGTTAAAAACGATCTCATGTTACATTTGACCTTAAAACACGTGGACTTGTCCGCCTTCTTATGTGGATTGTGCCTGGCGCAGAACAATTCCCTATCCAACTTAAAATCGCACCTGCAAACCTGCTCGATTAACCACCCGCTCACTCACCGGTACTACTGCCAAGTGTGCCTCTACAGCGACGATAACGAACGGCTGCTGGAAAATCACGTGCTGGTGCATAAGTTTTTGCTCGACAATTGTCGCAAAGACGTCAAAAATTTCAATCCTGAGGATTACGTAGAGAGAAATAGCGGTTACACAAACGCCGGTTCTCCGATAAGATCGTTCGTGTGTCTCGACTGCGGCAGATCAAACTTTGGCTCGTTCACCGAGTTTTCCGGCCACCGTCGAATGAACCATTCCATATATCACTGCGATTTATGCAACAAGTTCTATGGCCGCAACTCTCACCTCTGGAAGCACGTGAACCGACTTCACAGGGGACACCCGAGCGTCACGTGTCAGATATGCTTCAAAACCAGCGCCTCGAAATATCACCTCGCTCAGCATTTTTCGAAAATCCACCAGGCGAAACCGACGAAAAAGGAAATCGTTCCCAAACTCGAACCGTACGACTTGAACGCGATCAAAGAGAGTTTCGTCGATCAGGAGGACGACAATTCACTGAACCAACTGTCGGACCAGGAGAACGATGGATATATGGACGTGAAGGTAGCTCCGAAGGAGATCGATTCGTCCCACAACTTATACACCAACATCATCACGAATTACACCCCGCCAGCGAACGAGGGCGACTTCAAGTGCCCAAAGTGCTCGAAGGCGTTCCACAAGAAGATGTTGTTGAAGAAGCACAAGAAAAACTGTCGACCCAAACTCCAAAAAGACCTGCTGACCAGGTGCAAATCGTGCGCGAGGATATTCAAAGACCGTCAGAGTCTGACGAAGCACTTGGTCAACTACCACTCGGAGTACATTTGCGAGATCTGCAACGAGAAGATGCAGAGCAAGTGCGAGATCGTGTCGCATATAAGGTTCCAGCACCCGTCCAGCCATTTGGTGTGCGCAGTGTGTCAGAATATTCTCAGGTGCAGGAAGGACTTGCTGGATCATCTGGCCGACCACGGCAACTCTTACGTGTGCCAGTTTTGCGCGGATTCTTTGCCCAGTAAGGTGAGTTAATGGGTGTGGCTTTACTTCATTTGGCTGATTTCGATCTTTTTTTGGTGTCTTTTTTAGCAAATTAGGGAAAAAAACAGTAAAACAGTTTTTTTTCCAATATATTGGAATGAAATTACGCGAAAATATTTTAACTATATTTTAATTTAAAAAACACAAAAATATTATAAATTAATCAACAAAACTTTGTCAATCAAAACTTCAAAATGAAACCCTAAGTGATTTCTTTGTGTAGTCATATTTTAGCTTGTAATATGCAATACTTTTTACCAAGGACGATAATAACTGAATAGTACTTATTGCTTTTGCATTACACTTTATTTCTCTAAAAAGAATAGACTTTTTAAAGATCTTATGTATAAAATGTAAAATGTATAAAAAAAAACAATTCTGTGGTCGTAATCATTAAAGTGCAACCTAAGTTTCATTGCAAATTTAATTCATAAGATGTCTTGACGTTTTGTTGGAACACTTTGTTCCAACAATTTAATTCATAAGATGTCTTGACGTTTTGTTGGAACACTTTGTTCTTAATTAGGTTTAGTGTATACCGAATGGATCTTTAAATTGCTTGTGAATAAATCTTTTAGCTCACCTATGAGATTCCATCTTCTGAACTAGTTTGCTCACATGAACTACACAGCTCTTAGGTGTAAAGATTTTGTTAGTCAAAAAATGAATAATAGGGAACTTGAACGTTTTTTTAAACTTTCTTTAATACATTTGTTTAGGTGCAGAATTAAGGCATATCAAAACTCAAAACCCAATAGTTAAAGGACACCAAAAGCGCGGGAATGATCGTGACGTCATACCGCTGCTTTTCGATCGATACGGCGACATGTTATAGTGTTATTCTCAGGTTTTTGGTTCGTGTAACGGTGTGTTTATATTTTATCTACTCCAGTTTGTGTTTGTACTTATAGTGCTTTATATGAAAATAATGTAAGCATCACAAAAACGGTATTACAAATCGTGCCATCGTGTTTGAGTACAACCCGTAAAACGCCTTTTTATTCGTCTACCAGAAAATAAAAGCCGTCGTTTTTTATTAACATTGTGTCCAGGTGTCGCTGTAGCCTTAATTGTCCAAACATTTTTAATTTTTCGAACTTGCACACATCCTATTGCAGTCTCTATAGGAATGGCTTCGTGATTTATATAAAATAAAGAATATCAATGCCAATATGCTTTAAAATCAATATTTAGGTTTCCACTCGTTAAAAAAAAATCCTGTTTTTTTTTTTGTTGAACAATTTACGTTTTATTTGATGTGCTATTTGAATTGAATTTGAAACTAGAAAACTTTAAGCTGATTATAATATTATATTGCTATAAAACTAATTACTAAATTTTCTATGAAAATACCTCAGGAAAAGAAAAACTTTCCGTGTTTGGTATCTAAGATGTCAAATTATCCACTAAAGGTAATTTATTAGATTGACCTTTCAAAAAGTCGGTTTCGGTCATTTTCAAAACTTTCTTTTTGATACTAAATACAAGATAATAAAAGCAAGCGACAGGATCAAGACTAAAATTAAAATTAAAACCACCAAGGCCAACTCGTTGTCGTTCTCTAATGACATCTCTGGCGCGTAGTCTTACGCGCGAATTGACGCCACAACCGGTCACAGAGAATTTAAATTTCACAATCTTTTGCTTGTTACCTAGAACTAAGAAATTATTATTTTTTTGTGTAGTGTGGTTCTTTTAATAGTATAAATTTACGTTTATAAGCAATATTTTTCAAATTAAAATTTTGTTCAAGTTCCCTATTGATTAATTGATAAAACAAACTCAGAATTAAAAATACTAGAACTCGATAGATCTTACCGACTCACAGCAAGTCTTCCAGCGGTATTTATTTTAATATTAAGTGTCTTATTTATGGCTCCTGTACAACCTTTTTTCATGAATTTTCTGTTTTAGTTATAAACTTTTTACCCGTCTGTAGTTTTTGTACATAATTTGTTGTATGTATTTTTAAAAATTTCTTTTTAGTGTGACATTTCGCATTTAATAGCATCTAATAAACGTAAAAATTTCCAATGTTTTTCTTAATTTTTTTATTAATACTATTAATTTTGGTGTCATCAAATTATGCATAATTGTACTAGGTAAAACTGAAAATGCACATATTGAGTTTGCACCGCAAAATCCTGAGCCTGAGCTGCGGCATTTGCCTCAAGCTGTTCGAGAACCAGCACGTTTTGAGGGACCACGTGACCCTCGTCCACAAGGACCGTTTGGATCCGCTCACTTCGTGCCCCGTCTGCGGCAAAAACTACGGCTCCAAGTGGAAGACCTACGATCACCTGAACAAATCCCACGGCCGTATATTCAGGGCGTGTAAAGTGAGTCGGCGCCACAGTTTCTTTTCCTCGGTAGTCGTATATTGTCGGTTGTTGCAGGTGTGTTTGGAAATATTCGATACGGACGCGCAGCTAGAGGCTCACGGCAAAGTTTCCCACGTCAATCAGCCTCCCGTTACTTATTCGATCAAACCGAATCCGGCGGCACTGCTTTCAGCCGGGATTAATAACAATCGAAATAGTTACTTTACAGATAGCGAAGGAAGCAACGAGGCCAGCGACAACAGCGAAACGGAAGACGAAGGTACTATAGTCTGTTTCCTCGGAGTCTAGAGTAATATAACCATAATGTTTTAAATTGTAAATTACGCTGATTCTGCAGTTTTACCAATTGCTATATAGCTGCGCCGTATTTTAAATTTTAGTTTTTTTTTTATATATATAAGATCAAGAGGACAACGAGCCAGAACCAAAAGACCACGCCAAAAACTTAACGGAACGTTTTCCTGGCTTTGGTAGTCAGGATAATAAAATTTCATTGCTGGAGAAACGACTGATGGGTAAAAAAATCACATCCGATGACATAAGCAACGGGAAAAGCAACGGTTCCGCACAAAACAACCCGTCGGACCCTCAAAAGACCGCTGCAGGCAAGTTGAAATTTAAGATTTGAAATGACCGTGGACAAGCTTTTATTTGTTCTTGCAGCGGAGGGGAAAAACGGAAAGGACCATTGTCCGTTGAAAAAGGAAACTCAGGGCCCGGAGCAGGGTCATAACGGCAGCTCCTCAAAACGCACCGTATACGTGAACAGTAACGATCCCTCCTGCTGCGATATCTGCCACAAAACGTGGCCGGCGAAGAAGCACCTATGGCAGCATTATATCAGGTAAGAAAAATTTGGCAACGCCGGTGCGAGAGGTTTGACGAGACGGAGGGGAGACTCGTTTGAATTACTAGTGTAAAATGCAAATGGTAATAAATTAAAAAAATAAATAAATCATTCAACAAAAAAGAAAAAGAAAAAGGATTTTTTTTTAATTAGTGGAAACCTAAATACTTATTTTAAAGTACCAGCAAACTAAGCATAAATACAAACTGGTGTAGATTAAACACAAACACATTTTACACGAGCCAAAAATATACGTAAATAATATAATTCTCGGCATATCGATCGAAAAGCAGCGGTGTTACATCACGATCATCCCCGCGCGTTTAGTGTCGTTTAAAACGAATAGATGGATGTCACAACTTGAATTATTTATTGCAACTTAAATATTGGGTTTTGAGTTTTGATATTTGGTAGGCGTTATTTCTATACATAAACAAATGTATTGAAGAAATTTAAAAAAATGTTCAAGTTCCCTATTGTCTTCGGACGGACAACTTGCAAGCCCGCAGTGTGGCGCAAATTGGTGGATACTATTAAGGGATATTATAAAAGTGTCCAATTGGGCCAGCCTATACAAAGATTTAGAAAGCAATCTTATCACTTTTTAGAAAAAGCCCGTGAAGATTATTTTGTTTTTAGGTATAGTATGGGATGTTTAAATTTATCTGAAATTTACATTGTTCTACAAGTTATTAAATAAATCCATAAAGGATATTTTCTTCAACAATGTTATTATGTTCCATAAGGAAAAATACATTAATTTGTATATGTTTTTCAATAACTTTTCTTAGGCGATATGAATTAAATGCATACAGGGAGTTTCAAAACCACTACGAAAAACGTGAAGGGATAATTCTTTGTCTAAAATAAACGTAATTTGTCATATAACATCAACCATTATGGAGATACAAATATGGCAGAAAAGTAATGTTTTTTTTTTTAATTTTAAAAACGAAAAATAAAATATGTATTATAATTATAAAAACGCACTTTCTGTATAACTTGTAAGGTGTAAGTTTTTTGAAAAAAATGCAGGAGATAAAAAAGTGTCTGAATAAAAGTTAATTTGAATAGACTTTTCGTTAAATTTACTTAAGAAATGTGTTTTTGTAATAGTAATACTTCCGTAATATTTTATTGTTCCATATGATTATCTGGTTGCCTTAAAATGTATTTACACGGGCGAAAGTCATATATTGGGGGTGGTACGTGATTGAATTTAGCTATAGAAAAAATGTTTTTACTGCGATGCGAAATATTTGATTGATTTGAACTACTCGCTTGAGATACTTAGTTGTTGAGAAATTAAACGAAATGAAAGAATTTTTTCGCCGATGCCGAAGTAAAATTAAGAAATAATCGCCAATTTAGAGTTCCTATGGTAATCAACGCACTTCATTGTTCAACGATTAGGTGTCACAAGAGCGTGGCCGCGACAGTTTGCGGTATCTGTCTCAAAACGAATGCCGATTACGAGAGCCTGCAAACGCATTTGAAAGACACGCATCCCACGTTGCTGTACGGCCAGGGTTTCGGCTCCAATTTCATATGTAGGATCTGCGGGCGGTACCACAACGCGAGCTCCAAACTCAAACTGCACATGGTCATACACGAGAACTTCGACTGGGGCCTTTTGGAACGTATCGCTCCCGCGGAAAGCCGATCGGCAGCCGCGAGGCCGCAAAGAAACGGCCATAAAACCGACGACGAGCCAGCCGAAGAAAATGGGGACTCTTGTAACGGAAATGACGATATGTTCGACGACCTGATCGAGCAGATCGAGGAGTCTTCCAATTCGAGCGGCTTGGACGAGAAAAAAGGAGGTGGGTGTATACGTTTATTAAACCGTATAGTTTATTTGAACTACTAAAACTCCAATAAGCGTATTCGGGTTTGCACAGTTGGTCGGTCCCTGAACAGTTCCGGTGCTCTAACTGGCTTGATCCTGTTTTCGAACTGTCAGCGAATTGGTACAAACCTTCACGCCTTCTTAGGCTCGTGAAGTTTGTGACCTAAATCATTTGTTTGCATTGCTCAGGCACCTGGCAGTTTACATTCAAAATTTATGAGTACCATTTTTAGGATTCTTCAATATTAGGGTCGTGCATGATCCAAAGTGATGATCGACGTTCGTAAAAACTAAAGGAACATTTGAACTACTGTAACCCTAACGTAAACTTCACTATCGTTATTTCAGTTGTTATTTGCGATAAAAGTTGTTATTTAGTAATTTATTTTTGATGTTGGTGAATAGTGTTGTAAAGGTTCTATAATTTTATAAAATATAAAAAAAAACATCTATGTGACCGTACACAATTAAAAGTCAACCAATTCAAGTGATTTTGGGCAATAAAACTTGGGTAGTTGTCGAAAATAGTAAAAACTTTTCGTGGGACATTTGAACCACTGAAATTAAGAAAAGCGCCGCAGGGTTCTTGTTTTTTCTTTTAGCTGTTATTGTTAGTGAACATTTGAACTACTAAAACTGTACTATAGCTTTGTTTCAACACACCACGTGTACCACCTTGAAATGGTAATTCCCAGTCGATCGAACAGTCGATAAATTTATTTCTCATTCTTAACAAGCCTTCGATGTGTCAAAAAATAATCCGGCAACTGAAAAATACCAGTTCTGCCGTGGTTCCCTGTCGTGTTGGAACAATCTTTATGAGTAAACACCCCATAACTATTATTATTTCAGTGTTATTTGAAATAAGAGCTATTATTTTGCAGTTTATATTTGATATCCGTGAATAGCATTGTTGAGGTTCCAGAATTTTATAAAATGTAAACAAATTAAATTCGCGTAGCCGTACAAGGTTAGAAGTCATTCAATTCGCGCGATTGGGACGCACAAAAAAAGAGGTGGTTATCGATGTTTTTGAAAACGACACAATGGAAGATTGGAACTACTAAAACTAATATAAACTTCCTATAATTATCGTTTTTTTATTGTTATTTCTGCTAAAAGTTTTTATTTGTAGTTTATATATGATATTCGTGAATGACTTTGGTTAGGTTTCATCCACAGCTAGAAATCATCGAATTTGAAGAAAATTAGTAGTTTAACTTCCTGATGCAACAGTTTCACTACTTAAAGTTGTTACTAATTAATGTAATCTAAACGTAGGTGATTGTCTCCGCAAAACACACTCGGTTCAATTGAACTACTGTTGAATGTCGCCGGTTGTTGAGTTATAGCGTGTGTGATTGACTCTCCCTCCAGACTCCTCGTCCGAAGAGTGCGGCGACGATGCCGGAAGCAAAACGTTTCCGGTTTTGAGTGCGAAGCATCCTCTGAGTGGCGAAAGGTGCGGCGAAAGCTGCGCTAGCGACGAATCTTCCTCGACCGTGACGGACGGGAACGGAAAAAGTGACGAATACTCGTCGGAAGAGGACGACGACGATCGTTCTCAAAACTCCCGTACATCGGACGGCGGCAGCACCATCGACAGCGGCGGTAGCGCGTTCGGGTAAATATCTTTTCCGAAAATATCATTGATGTATTTAGTATTTTGAAAACTACTCTTGACTGCAGTCACCATAAATCATGTTTGTCATTTTCGGACCTAACCTAAAATTGAAGCTTTAAGTGCAGCGTTGCGTGTTTACCGCGGAGCATAAAGGCGAAATAACAACGAAACTTGTTGTTGAGTCGAACTTGCTGTTTCGCCAATCATCCTGTTGGCTTCTTCAACGTTTAACTGACACTGGATCGCATAATAATAGTAATAAGAGATAATAGTACGGGGTGGGTCCTATAAAAATAATCTAGAGCCACTGAGTATCATTCAGAAAAAGTGCAAATTGAATTGTCTATATATTAACTCAATTTGCTGATACTTATACAAAAACAAAAATTTGCAATGATTGGTAGGTTATCAATGTCAGAGTAAAGCTAACCGCGGAGGACTGCTATATTTCTCTTTCCGGAGTGATTTTTATTTCTGCCCGGAGTGCAGTGCAGCATTTCGTAAATAGTCCATAGTATCACGAAAATAATAGACCGTGTCATATTGAATGGCAATGGGCTTGTAAAAAATTGTCTCTTATAAAAAATACAATTAAGTAAATAAATAAAATAAACATACAGGCGCGTGCCCGAAGAACTCGATTCTGCCGTCAAGTCCATCAGTTATGACGGTCCACCTAGGAAACGGGCGGCGGATACTGAGGAGTTTGCCGAGTTGCAAAGCGGCTGTGCCCACAACGAGAACGAAATCGAGTCCGCTGTCGGCAGCATTTTGTAGGATCCGTAAGCGTCCTCGTCTAATACTCTAGCCTTCCACTAGCCTCTTCCTGTCTCGATATATATATTTCTTACGTTTACATCTGGACGAATATTTTGTGTTCGGGCAAACAATTGCCGGTAACGCTAAGCGGCGGAAACGCCCTTTACCTCCAACCATGCTTCCCATTGATTTTTGTCGGACCGTTGCGTAAGTAGCGTCTCGCATGTTGCGGTTTATTTGAACTACTTCTGCAGCCTACAAGGCGGCGTATTCGAATCGACCCCAATGCAAGAAGTTGCGCAAACAAGTCAGTCCGTTTGCGAGGGAAATTTTGGTTTTTGATCACTCCCATCAAACAGGAAATTTGTGGATCATTTTTATTCACTTTTTATCTATAAAAATTACGTTTTAAAAATATTTTTGCACCTCGCATTTCTTTTACATTTTTTGGCCTTCAAAATGAAAAGTAATTTTATTGTTGTTTATTTTTTTAAAACGTTAAAAAACGAATGATAAATATTTAGATATTGGTGATCAAAAATATCCAGCTAGCTCCTTGTATTACTGCGCAAAGCAGTTATTCAGCTCGTTGATTCAAAAGACTGATTTCATATAATCCTGATCAATATTACTGAATGATATTGGGTACTTAAATATATATTAAGTATTTTGTGTTTTTAATTGTGATTACTTTTGCCATATTATTAATGTATGTATTGCTAACGTTTTGGTGTCCGAGTCTTGGGTTTTTTTATTCGAGGCTGGTAAGTGATAATGAAAGAGAGATTACAGTTAACCTACCTAAATTCTGATCTCCTAAGTTAAGGAAGAAGCCTGGAACCTGTATATTTTAAGTTTTGCCATTGGGTACTACTAGGTGTAGTTCGAGTCTTTCCAGACGATTTTGCCAGTATTTTAGATGTTTAAGGAAAACCCATCCGGTTTTCGGTTTACAAGCAATGTTACGGGTTTTAACTTCTTCGAATTGGATTGTCTTGCGTATTTTGATGTTTTCCCGTGATAAATTCGAAATAAAGGGCCTGTGTGACGTGTTTGTTTTGTAGCCATTAGGAAAGTTTGTCGTATTTTTATAATAATTTATTTTTCTACTTGTAAGAACTTTTTCAGGACTTGTATTGCAGAAATGTTTTTTTCCACCAATAAACTCATAGAAGAAACCATTTTTGCATGTTGTCTATTTTAATGCATTCCTCATTATTAAAACGTGTAACTGTGTATATAAGGATAAATTGAACAATAAAAGTATTTTCTAAAGCGGTTTATTTCATTATTTATAATAAAGTACGAGTTATTGTGACGTCATACCTTTTCTTGAGTGTTCAAATAAACGACGTCGTGGTGGATGTGGCAACGCGGTCTCGTGTCTGCCAGCGGAATTCAAGATGGCGCCAGCCATTTTGACGTTTTCAGTGGCCTCTTAGTTTTTAAGCTTATTTTTAAATATTTTTGTTTGTTTTGTTGCAACAACATGTTCGCAAGTTTCTAAATTACGTGCGCGTCGTTCCCCTTCGACTTGAACGCGCTGGCACCAACGGAACCGAAATCTCCGATTCAAGAACAAAAATCGCAACTGGTAAAAGTAACCCAAACAATCTGTATTTTTTTTTTCGCGGCCCACTATAATAGCGACAGCTTTGTGATTTATCTACAAAGCTGCGTGAAATTTCATTAAATGAAACAAACAAGTAATATTGATATTGAAATAGCGACAATTGGCTTAACCTAACTTTAGCCTTGAGAAAAAGTCTTGAAGTCGACGATAAACCATGGAGGCTATGCAATACGAGCTGGCAAGAAACATGACCCTATTGTTTTTCTTCGAGAGGCTGCTTGATAAAGGAGAGCCTCGGACTTTGCACGATCTAAGCTGCCAATTTGGCTCGAAAGGCTTTACGAAGGAAATGAGGCAAATAGCTGGCGGGAGCCAGAGTGGCCTAAAAAAGTTTCTCACACAGTACCCATCATTATTTGCCATGGAAGGAGAATATGTTACGATAAATACCTTCAAAAACGGCAGTCACGTTAGTAGTGCGGGTGAGTGAATTAGTGTTTCTAGTTAAACTATTTGCGCCTCATTTTTACCTGTTAATTACCTAGTGGTGCAAGCAATCGGTAATTGAATTGAAACAATACCATGAGAATTACACCGTTGCATGTATATGATTTTTATCAATTTTAATTCAGAAAAATAGCACAGCAGTGAAAGTTTTAATTGTTCGTTAGGGTTAATGTGTGGTTTGCCAAACCAAAATAGTTCCCGGTCATTTTGTTATTTAAACGCCAACAATTTTCAAATTAACCACCACATCTTTAAAAAAAGACTTATTCAGTTATCAAAAACTTTAAAATATCAATACAGTTAGTTCACCTGTTACAAGCATATAGCTATTACAAAATACAGTGGGCCTACTAAGGTAAAAATTGATGCGCCTCAGAGGGCTGTAATTCGTACCATTTTTTTTCTAAACAGCCATATCCACATACCTTGTTTGAAGATTTAATAGGAGAAAATATCGTATAAAAGAGCGGATCTAAACTTACTGACGATCTGTGGGTTAGTTGCAAGATCATTGGTTAAAAAGAAGATTTTAAATCTCGCGCATGCGTATGTCGAATAGACATCCTCACCATTTTTTCATAGTTGCTTCAAAAATTCCTGTATTGTCAGCATAGGCAGGGCCTGTATAACTAGTAGTTTTATGATTAAAAGATTATTTTCCTGCCAAAAGTTAATAAATATTTGCTATTCCTACCGATCGCACGCGCTTCTCGTAATTGTAAAAAGTGGTAAGTGGCAGTGTGCTTGCAAATCGTAAGTAAATTTTAATATAATTTAAGTTAATAAAGGCAGTATAATATAAAAGGGCGGGAGACATTATGAAATTATATATTTATACAATATAAAATAACAAATTGCTTTATTTTCGTTTTTATTTGCCTATAAAAAATAAATATGTTATTAAATTAAAAACTTTCGAAACAAAAGCAGCACTTCAAGAAGAAAATTTTCTGTTCTGATATCTTTAAAATTATAATGGAACAGTTATTTTGCCTATGCTGATAACAATGAAACTTATGAAGCAACATTTTTGAGAAGGTCTTTTTTTCCATCTCTACGAAAATATCAGCACCAATATATTACCTGAAAGCTATATGCGAAAACCAGCACATTAGCCCTACTTTAGAATTGTAAAAGTGTTTTCATTAGCCAATAATAGCGTCGTTGAATGAGATAATCAAGAATGCTGTCGCTCCATAAAAATTGAAATTTGCATTGCAAATTTTTACCCATCTGTTTTCTTTGATGGGTTATGTTGTTTACATTTTGGTATTTTGCTTTGCAAACAGTCGTCGAAATTTGAACTTCATTTTGCATATTTCTTCTGTTCTTTGTTACAAAGGTAAAAAAAAATATACCATCTGCTGTCAGTTTATCATTTATTTAAATAACAAAACACGATTTTCAATTTTTCTATTGCTACCACTTTTCATAGGCGGGAAAGACTATGATACTCAAGCGGTGGAATATTTTTCGGAGAAACTGCTGCAATACGGCGAAGGCACCGAAGTACCAATCCGCAGTCTCTTGGGACACCGTTCGCAGGCCTCTCCGGAAGTTCGCCACGTTTCGGGACAACACTTCCATGAATTCAGGGAATTTCTATTCAAGCACCCCGATACGTTCCTCGTAGACGACGAAAAAGAGACCGTCGTCTTGGCGAATTACGACGACGTTCGCTCCCACTGTCCTCCCGAGCTTCACTTCCATCCCGACGTCCAAATCGATCCGCAGGACACTCAAACCCTCCTGGATTTCTTGGCGCAGTGCATCGAAGTCAAGGGTCCGATTTTGTTCGAACAACTTTTCCAAATTGTTAGCTGCAATCTTCCCGAGGCCATTTGGTCCAACCTTTTCAACACCCCCACCCAACTGTCGAGTTTTTTGCGATTGTTTTCCGACAGCTTCCACATACAGTCGAATTTGGTGACGCTTCTGCAGACCCCGAAAATTAACCAGAAACATATCAAAGCCCAACTGGATCTCATCAAAGAGAATAAAATCAAAGAAAAGCAGCGCGATGGAGAGGAAGAAGTAAACAATAAAATTAACGAATTGGAGAGAAACGGGGCTCCCAAAGCACCGGCAGTCGAAAAACCTGAAAAGGCTGTTGCGGTGGTACAGAAGTCGATAAGCGACAGATTGAAACAACCCAAACTGCAGCAGCAAGGGAAAGCCACCAGTCCCGAACCACCTGTAGCCCAAAACGCCGACAAAAAGGGGTTGTCTTTTAAGTTGGGGCCTCGTCCGGGAAAGACCTCGCCAGAATCTGAAGAGCAGACCGTCCCGCCCCAGGTGGATTCAAATAAACCGCCTCTCGTTAAACCGACGAAGTATAATCAGTCTCTCAAGCAAAGGATTAACAATCTCGTTATAAAAACCCTTCAGGAGAATACGGGCAAGGAGAGGCAGACCTTGCTGAACCATCAGGCCCACAATGATTCTTGGACGATCCGACTGTTCCAAAACACGCGGGTCATATGCAGCAGTCGCGAGTGTCAGATGGTAAAGCCTCCAAATCCGTTAATGGCGAACTACCGGTTTTTTTTTCACCTCGGAAGAGTTTTGGCTGTGATGGAGGCAAATGGGGGTGACGTCGTAACTTAGTTCTTAACATTAAATAAGCATGTTTGATTAGACAGGTGCTTATTTTTTCTCATAGAAGCTTTGGTGGATCTAAAAGTCTCCCGCAGTTTAAGTTTCAAGAGTTCCTCTAACTAATAGTAGCTCTGTTAGTCTTATTTAGACAATCTATGTATTGTAAAGGTTATTTTTCCCGCCAAAATAGATGATGTGGTTTTGACCGGCTCGAGGATTTCGTAGGAAGTACAGGTGATTAATAATTAGGAATAACCAAAATTATTATAACAGGAAAAACCTGTATCGTCTACAGCAAACACAATCAGAGATCATATTATTGGTAAACATCCGCTTGTGCAGCGTTGCCAAATTTAATAGACAAATATCTCGATTATGCTTGTTAGTAAAACCCATTTTAGTTTTTGTAGGGGTCATTTTATTGGACGTTACCAACATTTACTCTCTCTCAACATTTAACAAACATTGACACTTGATACTATTTACCGGTAGTTCATCTTACGTCGGGCAAGAGTTGATAGGGTGGGTTTGTGTTAGGGTTGCGTTTTTAGGTGATCGACGAAATAATGACGAGAAAACCGAGCAAACCGGTGAAACCGCAGGACGACGATTGGCCGTTTACGCAGGAAAAAATCGTAGTCGGTTTCGACTGTGAGGGTATCAATATAGGAACCAAAGGGCAGATCACCCTGATGCAGATAGCGACCATGGCCGGATTCGCGTACGTTTTCGATCTTATCTCGTGCCCCGAAATGATCGATAGCGGCCTGAAAAGGATTTTAGAATCTCCCAACGTCGTCAAGGTAATTTGCCCGCCCCTCGAGCGACGGACAAAGCCGTAGTGACCACCGTGTCCTCATTCCAGATCATGCACGACTGCAGAAACGATTCGGTCAACCTCTTTAGGCAATTTAATATATCTTTGAGGTGTATTTTCGATACTCAGGCAGCCCACGCGGTTCTCACGTATCAGGATACCGACAAGCCCGTGTACAAAGCGAAGAGCGTCGCGTTAAACGCCCTCTGCGAGGTTTACGGGGCCCTGGCGAATCCTATGAAGGACCAGTTGAAAAATATATACAGGTAGCATCGTTTAAAAATCCACCTGGCGAGGCTACGGGTTGACGCGAGAGAATTCCGCAACCAAAAAAATACCTCCGCTCGATCGTTGGTCTCATTGGTTCCTTTTAAATAATAATAATAATAATCTTTATTGCCTAATAAATTAACATTGATTTAAAAAACAGATTCATCCTGAGAAGGATAAACTGTAACTGTAATAAGTGTTCAACTATATTCAACGTCAATATCATTACAGAAGTCATTCAATAATTTCATCAAGTGATAGAGAGGACCCTTAAAGTATGTTCGCTTTTTAAAATCTCTAGAATTTCTCACTATAGATAGTCCTTATAGTCTTACCCAAACCCGTGAAATCCATTTTCAATGTTTTGCGTTTTCCCCAGGAGGGACCAAAAATATTGGTCAAAACGACCTTTGACTCGGGACATGGTTATGTACGCGTCCGCCGACGTGCTTAGCTTGGTCAGCGAGAAAATTTACTACCCAATGGTCAACTCCATAAAGGAGGAAAACAGGGGTTTGATGGTCGAGCTGTGCGACGAGCAGGTAAGAAAAATTCTCCTCCACTTAGTCGATCGATACTGACGAGCGGCTTTTAGATTTTTTTGCACATCAATCCAGACGACGTAAAGCTGAAGAAACGACAACGAAAGACTGAGACGGAAGTGAAAGAGCTGCGGACCAAGCTGGCCCAAGCTTCCAAGAGTGTAGTTTTAAGTAACCGAGAAGTTAGACTGCTGAGGTAGAGGAAGGTAAGTTTGACATGTGCAAGTGTCTTATTCTACGCGGTTTGCAGGTACATCGAGCTCACGGAAGAGGAAAAAGAAAAGCTGAAATCGTCGGCCAAGGTGGCGAAAAAGCTGGAAAAACTCGAGAGCCTCGGACAGGAACGGGACGACGCGAGTTCGGACGACGAGGCGGAAAACGACGCCGACTATCCGAGCTTGGACAGCGACGTGACGTCGCCAAGAAATTCGGAACCCACCAGTCTAACGGAGTCCATGCAATTGGTCGATTCCATTCTCAATGACAATAAAATCGATAGGTTGGACAAAATCGATAAACTGGGTAAGTGTTTTTCTCGAGGCTATACCAATATTTTAAAGTACCGCATCTATTGCATCAAAAATTACTGAGTGAAAATAGAATTACTGCGTATCTTTTTAAATTCTTTTTAAACTTCTAACTTTTGCTATGATCTTTATCTTAAATTGTGTTATGTATTTAAGGCGAAATTAAGCAGTGGCATAGAAAAATAGAAATAGGAAATAGGAATTAGGGTTACTTTCACTATATTCTTTCTCCCGCAGTCAAAAATGTCGTTGAGAGAAAATTTAAGGTCAATTTCAACCAACTTGTATATAAATGTTTGTCCTTATTAAATCCTTCAAATTTAATTCAATGAAAGCTGTTTGGCACATTGTCCATTTTGATTGTGAAAACACTATAAGTAACATTTTTTATGAATAATTCAAACTACTTCACTATAACGAAAGGAAACTTATTCGACAACAGTGTTTCGCACTGTCTTTGATGATGGATGTGATGGAACGCTAAAGTGGAACTTATTAGAGAGAAGACCAGATGTAAGTTGTTTTAATTCTGAGGGCTGAGATATTTTTACGGCTCTATGAACAAGAGATGTGATAACCAATGGTTTATGTGACAATGCATTAAGGTATCGGTCAGTGTGCGTAGGTTTTCTGTAAACATACTGACCGAATGTTAGATCTGATTTTCTATTGATAAGAATATCTAAAAATGAAAGGTTATTGTTAGTGTCTAATTCATTGGTAAAACGAATGGGTATATAAAGTTAAAAAAATGGCTAAAAAAATCTCATAGGGATTCCTGAACATGAGGCCAAATAACAAAAGTATCATAAAAAAAATTACTTTATATAATAATATATAAATTTATTATATGAAAAATAATATATGGGAAACAAATTACACCAAATAATTTTTTTAAATTATTATATTAAATAGAAAATTAACATTGCATTTTTTTTTTGTTTTTGAACGCAAATCTTAAGTTTGAGGCTGAAAAATTTTAAAACTTGGGTGGCGTTTCCATAATTTTGGTTCTAGAAGGTGTCGATGGCTTTCTTCAGATTCAAAGTCTTGGATTCTAATAGGATCTAATGTAGTGGTTTTTAATCGTTGAAATAATGAATGAAATTAAGTACGATACTATCACTTTTCCCTGTAAAGGGTTTTAATATAAAATCTTGATATTTTGCTAGGGAATACGTTGTACAACCAATGGTGCTGACAATATCTTGATTTTTTTCCTGATAGTCAGTTTTGTTCATTTCCTTTATATGCTATTAGAATTACAATGTCAGGACTAGATTTTAGAGATTTTAGAGCAATGCATTCAGGCTTTGGAATATTAAGGCCCCCACAGACGTCGTTCTTTTCTAATAGATATTCGTAGTACCACAAGTGTGGTTTATAGATGTCTTCAGTACCGTAACCAGATTTCTTAGATTGAATGACTTTTTTCAATTCCTTACGGAAACAGCCACATAAAGAGTCATTGTAAAAACTACAGCAATATATTTTTATTCAACAATACAATTTTAAAATCACTACTCAAAACTAACCCTAATTATTGCTGTGTAAAATAAGGGAGCCGACACTGATAAAAACTGTCCTTCTTAACTGTTTTCCCACCACACACTGACAGACTTGAACGAACGCGTTTAAAACGGACGGTTAAAATCAAGCAGTGGCAGATATTTTTGAACGTCAGCAAAAAAGACAGTTTTTGGCCACACACTGACCAACTTATCCGCACCGTTTTAACCGTGCGGGTAAAATTGCTAAAAAAAAAACGTCTGCGGGGGCCTTTAGATTTAGGAGGTTTTGATTTTTTAAGACTTTTTGCGGTTTTTTAGGATGGATTCGACATTTGAAATGATTTGATCTTTTGAAATAATAAGTGATAGATACATGAAACCTTTTACAAAAACTGATTTTTCCGTCTCAGAAAGTTAGTGCGATGATACATTTACAACAGTGCAGATGGTTTCGCTAGGGGGTAAAAAATAAACGAAGATTTTCAACTTGGTCATGAATCATGTTTGAAAGAGTATCGAACTCGAAGACAGAAGCAATTTCAAGATGTAGAGACAGAAACAAACAAAATTTTATAGCACGTGATGTTTTCACACGATTTTAAGAAAATTAAGGATAACGTTTATAGTCTCTACAACATAACAAAGAAGTCAGTGTACACAGTAATCTTACCAATTTCAATCGATGATCTTCAAACTTTATGCTTTTGTGCTTGATGTCCTCTTCAGTGTCGGAGAAACAATTGCTTATTAACTAGAAAATTTTCCAAGGCACTAACAGCTTTTAGAGCTTCTAGTTTGTTGAAAATTGACCCGAACTACTTTCATCCCCTCCACAGTTTATAACGATTTCATTTTATCAGCTACACGCATTTAAATCCTTCACTTTCGCTTTTTGTCTCCCTCGGATATTGAGATGTTATTGGTTATGTGCGCGTGAGGGTATGACATGGTGACTTCTTCTTTTGTTTAGAGTCAATCCTGGCTTCCGCGACCTCGTTACCGACTGACGGCATGGTGGAAGGGGTTAAATGTACCTGCAACTGTCACGCGAGCAAGATTAACGGCTTGAAGATGGACGGGCGCGTGGTGTCCCCGACGCCTGGCAGGTTCGCTTCGCGGGTAAGTCTAAATGACCCGGGCATCGTCAAGGAGAACCACCGCAACATCTGCACGCAGACATTGAGCACCGGCGACGTCGTGGTGACGAAAATATTCTTTAACGAGACGACTGAGTAATACAGGTTTAAAGACGTAGTTTTTTTTTAGGGAATACACAGGAGTATTTTTACGCGACGCCCACACATAATTTTTACTACGGAAATGTACACACCACTGCTCAAAATTAATTTTGTAAAATGGGCGGGACCGCGTTATATAGGTTAGGACGGGACTATAGTCAAAACCAGTCTTATCGTGCTGATTAACGACAAACTTTCACGTTTGTTTTTCTTTTGTTGTGTTAATTGTACCCACCAGATAAAATTCGCCAGATTAAGTGGAAAATCGACAACGAATGTCTAGGAAATAGTAGCGAAAGCACTGGGAATCAGTACATAAAAAAAAACAATGTACCATTGAAGAATACAAATTTTAAAAGAACATATCAAAAATGGAATTTTGGAATGTAATTTATGATCTAAAGAAACGTAGTGTTGTGGGTATTGGACTCATTATCAAGATTGACTTTTGCATATAAAAATGACGTACCAGCTGGGAACTTAATAATAGGTAGGTTATGTTAAAAGTTCGTTAGAAAAGAATTAGGTTTCCATTTTTATTAATTCTTGCACATACTACATATTGGAAACGAAATCTTAAATGCTATAACAAGAGATTTATTTTGTTTAAAAAAAAACGTTATTTTAAAATACATATAAACACAAATATGTTAAAACAAAAATAAAATCAAAAACTATTTTGTAAAAAAGTCCGATATTCGATAATGTTTATATATATTTATAAATATTTCATATGATTTATATTTAATGTTTCCCATAATTCGGTCATTTTACCTGTTGCGAATAAAGTGCTATTATTATTATTTCCAGAGATGCGCTGTATCACTTCTTTCAAAAAATCATTTTACATTTTTGATCCCTGTTACGGCGACATCACAAGTTGGAGATGTTTCTTCCCGCACTTCTTGGTTGTCTTCATCTTGATCACCTTTTAGTTGTTCGGTTTTACCAAGCTGCTGTAAGCGTATTTGGTTGTCTCAATATCATTATCGATATCAACAAAAGCGTCTACCGGGGCGAGATTGAATTTTTCGAAGTTAAAATTATTTTTGGTTAACCAAACATTTGAGGGTAAGTTGTCTTCATCTTCCTCGGATTGTTTGATAAGCCACTGGTTGAGAGGTTTTGCACTTTGTCTCAGAAGTACGTAATAACAGAGTACGTTATAAAAACTGTATTTCTACTGAATGCTTCATAAGAATGACTTTTTACATGGTGCGTTATAACCGTTGGTTCGTAATAAGCGTGTACATTGTACGCGAGTTTTACTGTATATACGTGCTCTAGATGCAATATTGCGTAAACAATTTAATGCAATAGAAATTAACATGGCCTGAGGCAAAATCTTATTACCAAAAGCATGTAGGCGGTGGTCTTAAGTTCGAGATGTTTTCAATTATCCGTGGAACATAGAGAAAAATTAATAAGGGACTGACTGCATCTAGAACAAACACTGGATGCCAAAATACCACCGATGATCATTGTTCCGAGGACTTAACATTAAACAGGCTATAACATTAAGCAGTTTTTTTCGTTTGCACCTTTTTGGTATTCTTAGTATTATATTATAATTTTTTTATACATGATTTCCTGTACAGTCTTTAAATTGACTCCCACCATTTCCGCTACTGCTTCCTGGAGACAGACTGGCAAATTTTCTTTTTGTTTTCATTTCTTGAAGTAATTATCCTTTAATAATTTTAAATAGTTGCTAAAATAAATTGAATAATAAGATATTTAATTTATTATTGATATAAATATATGTTATATATATATATATATATATATATATATATATATATATATATATATATATATATATATATATATATATATATATATATATATATATATATATATATATGTATATATATATGTATATATATTGAATATAGTAGTCGGTTCTTAATAATTTTTTAACACCTATTGTTATACAATTTAGTTCCTGTTATGGAAATTTGGACCTGCATTATAAGACTGAATTTGACTATATATTACGTTTACTTGATGGACAGAGTAGAATTTTAAAAAATTACTGCCACGAGATTTAACAGTTCTTCCAAACTCCAGTAGACCGGTAGTAGGCACAGTTCTATTATTAAATACCACAGACTAAACAGACCTAGACTTCCACTCAAACGCTAAAAGTTTACTTCCAAATTTTTGGGCGGGTTTCATTTAATGCGTTTGAACTACAGCTAGTAAAGTGAACGTGGGAATAGCGAGTATTAAAGAATATTTTCTTTAACACCTTCCATAAGCAGTGTCGGTCTAGGTAAGTTAATACTCTGGACTTCAGGGAAACATATAGACGGAATATTAAATTTCTAATGCTCAATTACATTCTGTCCTAACCGTAATCGTGTAAGGGCCTTATTCGGACTAGTATTAACTTTTTTATTGTACATATTAGTGAAATTTACCTACCTAACCTCTCTTGTGATAGCTTAGCGATTTTTTTTTATTCGGGTGGCATAATTTTGAAGGCGGAAAGAGACTAGTAAGTAAATTAATATTTTGGGGTTCGAGAACCGCTTCCGGTGCCTTCCAAAGTGCCTCACATCAACTTTGAGTACTTATTAACCCCGGGTTATTGATAGGTTAAAAGATACTAAAGCAATATAACAAATTTTATTATTACCCTATTACTATCGTTAGTTGACTAATTTTACCCAAACCTTTAACGCAATTGTTATTTTATTGTGTAAGTTTTTTTCAGTCGGTCCGTGTTTTTTTTTATAAATGTATATTTTGCTACCACTAAATAATGGGGGCACAGGTCTTCCTGAGTTCTTCACGGATACAGTTTTTTTTTAGCAAACTCCGTTTGCCGCCATATTTTATAATGATCCAATTGGTGATAAAGCTTCATGTAATAATTGTGCTAATATTAGTTTTAATGTGAATTTATTTATTGCGTTTGTTGTCTCCGCACCTTAGGAGCCTCTAAGGCCCGGAAGACACTGACAAAATCGTTTTAATCGATAACTTGGGCAATATTCGTATATTGTTAAATATACATTTTGTTTGCTGGGTCGTGGTTATATAATTGTTTGTAATTGACTATCTGGAGATATCTTTAAAGAAAATAATAACAATAATATAACTCACTGATTTTTTTTTCGAAAGTTCCCTGGAATGGTAAAATCCAAAACGCTTCCTAGCCGAGGCATACGCAAAAGTAATATATTCTTTATAAAAAATTGTGCACGGTCTAAAACCTAAAATGCAACCATCATATTCCAAATTATATTAATTCTAGGCGTAAACATTAATTGTCAATGTTAAATTCGAGAGAATGTTATGATACAGCTCATTGTTATGTAATATTTATGTAGGGCACACTATAGATATATTAGCAATCACGACCTAAGAAAATCAGGTTGACCCCGAGGTAAGACACTTGTGACTCAGCGCAAGTCACAGACCAGAAACTAATTTTTTGTGGCAGCTCTCAAGGATTATGTGATTAAATGGTTAGAAACGGAAAGGACTTATTATTTTCAGGGTAAGCCGGTCAGTATTTTCAAATAAAAAAACTAACTTTAATAACTTTAAGTATACAAATTATCTAAGTGCTTTATAAAATGTCATTTATACACGAAAATTATATCTTCATCCGTGCCGTAACTTTTGCGCGCTTGTTCCAAGTTCCTAATTGACATTGAGCAGACATCTGCAAAAAGGAGTCGTGGACTACAAATCCCGAAAAGAAATGGAGTACTTACGGTCTCCGAAAGAGGGATTCCTATAGAATACCTTTCCCGTGGTGACGTCGTAACCGCAGATAACGACGTAGTGGCCCTGATAAGGAGCGGGCCACGGCAAGCACTTCCTGAGTTCATTTGAGATTTTATTGAGTTTGCAAATATCACAGTATAAAAGTTTCGCATTGGTCAAAACTATGACCGGGCCATTAATTAAATGTTCCAATATGTGAAGAATCGACACCGACGAGTTTCTCACTGCGATATCGTTGTCTTTTGCTTGTTGGAATTTTGTATTGACCCTAGCTTCATCCTACAAACGATGACGCGCTCAAATCGCTTCAACCATATCGTATATTGTAGGGGCAACCTTCGTTAAAATATGGTGGTAGAAGCTGTTGCCTCGGTACCCCTCATGTACACCTATGGTTATTGTGTAAAATACGTGTCCAACTTGATAGCGCTTTAATAAATAGCACAAATCAATGGTCCACGTACTTCTATTAAAGCCTTCACTTTTGCATATGTAAGAAAAGTTTTTGATTAAATGCGCCCTGTGTTTCCGGGGCAAAACCATGAGAACGCACGAGATGCCGCAGTCCCAGTTGGACTTTTGCTTGTAGTGGCACAACTGTATGTGGATTTTTTCCGGACTGTCTGCAATTCGAAAGTGTCCAGTGTAACTAAAGCATCGCACAAATCGGCAACAGTGTAAATTTCGGGTACAATATTAAAACATTTGAAAATTGAACTAGGATAACTTATGCTGCTGCTACTACTTACCGGCGCCTAAGGCAATAGATCTCATGTTTTTTAAACAATATTCACGTTATTTAGCACGCAGGTTGAATGGGTATTGCTAAAAAGATGCGTCATAGTTTTTATTCCCGCAATCGGAGATAATATCAAACAAGGATAGGCGCTATACTATATAAATGTGAGCGAGATAATCTACTAAAAATACTGATATCTACAATATGAGTGGCATAAGTTCATTTTTTGATAACCCACATTTCCAATCAATGACACAATTCATTGTCCTGCATTGTTATGGCCCGATAAGTATTGTAATATCTGGCCTTTCGCGTGGCGTTAACAGACATCGAAAAAATGTTTTTATCACATTTGTTTTATAAATAAATAGGTCAATAACTCACCATTAAATTTATGTTGATCTGAATCGTCAACAAAGTATTCATTTCTAGGCACATTCATATCCGAAGCACAGACGATTGTTATGTATACGTAAATGAAAATTAAATAATATTCGAATACCCGGAGAGGTTAACCGTGAAACATCTTGCAACAAGGTTAAATTATTATATTTATCGCTTTGCAATCGACAATTCAAAAACCAAAGAGCGGGCATCGATTGACCTCGCCGATTAAGCACGGCTTTTGTCATGTGACCATTTTTTAAACGGCCACAACCACGTTGTCAGGTTGTTTATTAAAGGCGAGTACTTTTGGCTAAATTAGGGAACAGTAGATCGGAATGTTGCTTTACTGGTAATTCTATACCGATATCAGAAAATACAAAACTTGCAAATTTCGTCTTATTGGTTCCAACAGTTTGGTAAACTGCGATTAGATTTGCGGACAACAAAAAAGGAAAGTTGACAACTCCGCACTTTTACACCTGTAACAAAATAATGGAACGTAGGAATATAAACCTGTTCTATATTCCATGATCACCAACGGAAAAGTTAAGAACCGATTGATTAAAAAATCAGTTCATGCTTTCACCGCATGTGTAGAGTGTGTCGTTATAGAAAAGGCAAATACAAATTTATTACTTCTTGGCTTTAAGGGAGAAATGTAATAAACCCCTTCGTAAAAAGTCATTGATTAAACGAATAAGGACAATTATAAGAAAATGTGTATATTGTTCCTCCATGTAAATACAAGTCCCGAATCCAACGAATACCGATTAGTTGTGGCTACCAATAGGGATGAATATTACAAAAGACCTGCCAAATCAGCATATCACTGCCCACAAACTGACGTCATTAGCGGTAAGTTTTTTTAGTTCTTTTTAGTAGTTCTAATGACCCAAAAACAGCTGATGACTGATTATTAGCGTTCAAAGTACTAAATCGGGGTTTTAGAAGGCTAAATTCAATAGTTACATGTTATTTGTTGCGCGAAGGTGCCGAGTGCTTATTTTAAAATGTGTATTTTGTTCCTACATATAAACAGTGTACCAGAGGATCGTGAATTTAGGCTTGTGGTGGCAGAAAATAGGGATGAATTTGTTTCAAGACCTGCTACGTGTGCGTTTTTGTGTCCCAAAACAAGGATCATTTGTGGTAATCGAACTTTTCATCGTATGCGGGTAAATTATCACGTACAATGCAAATAATGGCTTATCAATATTTACACGATACATAATTACATCCATTGTTCGCGACAAAGATTGTGTTTTTCAAAGTAAGTTTTTAGTACCAAAGTGGAAACGGAATTTTGTTTTACCGGCAGTATGTGTCAATGCTACTTTCAAAAGAGGAGTCCATACACAAATATTTTATTGTTTAGAGAAGTCGGTCATTAATTGTCTGAAAATTGACATCCAACATAACAAACCAAACCCTGTTGTTAGAAATTAGGAATGAAAATAAAATTAGGTTTTAATGCTTGCTGGAATCACTGTTAAGCAGTTGTTTGGCGCTTTTATTGATAATGTTATCCTTTGATAATTTTTAAAAAAATCTTTATCAAGGGCGGGATATGGAACCCGGTAGGGAGGGTGGTACCTGGCTAGGTTTCGGTTCCAAACCAGTTCAAGAAAATGGAAAACCCCCGAAACATTGTTTTGCTTGTCTGACAAACATTTCCGGTACAAAAATTGACCATGCAATGGGCAGAGGGGAACTAGTCATAAACTACTTGGAGTCAGAGCTGGACTTTCCACAATATATTGAGGATTTAGACAAACAATCTAAGGTTTTTAATGGCTACAATTTGATCGGAGTTGAATTGAGGTTAGAATAAAACCGTTAGATCCAAACAGGCAAAATGACCTCGTCTTTTCCTTTTACAGCAAAGACGGTTCCGCTAAAACATTTCACAACAGTAATTTTCCCAGAATAGATTCCGTGTATACGGGAACTCATACTTTGGCATTTGGAAACACTTCAATTAGTTCGCCTTTGATTAAGGTTTTGAAAGGCAAAGATAAATTCGAGGATATCTTGGATAAAAAGTTAGACCAGTCTACCCTACAAGAAGAACTGCTGCAGTTGCTCAAAGATGAAACAAAGTTAGAGCGTCAATAAATTATGATTAAACAGTATTTAAGTGTTTTTTTGTAGGTACTTCCCCGATAGGCAGTTAATAAAACGAGACCCGACCATCGCTGAACATCTGTCACAGATATATGTCAAATTCCCAGAAGCCGGTTATGGAACGCGAACCCACACGATTATTTTAATCGACAGAGATTGGAATTTGGAGTTTCTAGAGCATACAATGGAAGAACCGATCAACGTGGAAAATCCAAAGTGGAAAGTTACAAGTATTAAGTCTCGATTATAGCGTCAGAAACTAAAGAGGGAGACTTGTCTCGATAGAGTGATGTGATATTATTTCAATTTATTGAGGTTGATTAGTGGAAGGTGCATTTTTAAAACTATGTGATCTATATAATTGAGGAAAATATAATTTATGTTCTAGATCAGTCAACCTCATTTCCATAAACAAAAAGGTTGGAACCAGTCCAAATTCATATTTTAAAAGAGAGGAAAAATATAATTATACATTTATAATAATGCTTTGGTTTACATTTTTTTCACTTATTTATTTATAATTATCATCGTGTATTTCTGATTATGGTAATATTTGTTTGATAAAATATAGACCAACCATTGCACTCTCAAATAGCAATTGCCATCAAAAATCTGCAGAAAGAAGTGGCAAGTATGGAAATTTTGGCTCAATCGTAATGCGTTTATTTTCTGAAATCGCCCAAAACTATTTATCTTTATATTGACAAATTTCTGAAGTACTAAATATTAATTGTAAAAAAACTGGATGGTGTGGGGTTGCTTGTAAATACTACTATTCTCACTTAAGACGCAAATAGCCTTTAAGTATGAACAGAGCACTTGCAACAACAATCCTACTATTAAATAAAAAAATATGGCACCTGGGAATGCACTCCCATTTATTAAATAAGGCTGTGGAATAAATTATTAATTTATTTTATTTTTTTTAAAGCAAATAACATGGAAAACTGATTCAATTAAAAAAAAAGAGTTGCGATATACAATAAACTGACTCGTTTGATCAATAGAAATTGATTGAATCAATAGAAATTGAATACACAAGAAAAATAAGGCTTAATTTCAAGAAAACGAACTGAAAACTATAATCCGTACAATATAAAATTTTACAATTACACAAAAGGAACTGCGTCGATTTTACAAAATATATAGACTTTGTGAAAAATATAAATAACCAAAAAACGTGGTAAACAAAAACATAACAATTATTTTACAAATTTGGGTTTAATCAATAATTCCTTTATCTCTCTCTCTCTCTCGCTCACTGCGACAATGTTCTGATACCGAACCCGCGCGAACGAGCCGGTCCACGATCCGGATAATAGTAATTCGTACACTTTTAACAATATTATTATGCTGGAAAACAAAACGTCTTGTATAAAAACCTAGCGAATTCAACTACTCGAATCTAGAATCTCAAAAAATAACTTGCTGTCGTATTTAAAAAACTAAAAAATTTAGCTTTATATTTTGTCCTATTACAACTATTTTATACATTTATCTTTCCCTTTTTTACATTACGTGTTTCTATTTTAGTTAGGTTAGGTGGTAGAGACGAAGGATAAACAAATTTGATTCGCAGACGTTCAAATTTCCCCACACAAACGATTTTTTTTCTTTTGCAACGCTACGGGTATCGATTTAAACTTGCATTACGCGAAAATAACGACAATAGAATAATATTTTCAACATACTTATGCGCTTCGCTTCGTATTGGGTGGTAGTTCAAATGTACCGCGGTGTGACTGGCCGTCAAACTTGCAGGTGGGCATTTGAGCTACTACACCAACAGATTTTCGAAAGTCCATCTTGTAACCTATCATAACGAAACAAACATTTTAAAACTTATACTCAACAAACCTATATCCGAATCGGTTGGCGCCAAACCTCTATTTACGTCAAACGTGACGTGCAGTCCCGCAGTACTTTCCGAAAAAGTATTCTCTAGCGGGCTTGGTTTTGAGTTTCGACAGACTAGTTTGCGATTCGATAATTGCGGTATGTCGTTTACTGGTACGGCAAAATACACAAAGAAAAAACGCAATTACCTCAACTGGCAACACTGGGTGCATATCTGAGCGAAATTAAAATTAAAGTTCGATTTTCACGGTGCTAAGTTGCACAACCTTGATCCGTTCTCATATGCAACCCGATTGTATCAAATTAGAACTTGTTCTAATTTCAGGACGCAGCATGTTTGGTGACGTTTCGCCGCACTTTAAATTCGGCGAGAAAATTAATTTTTAAGAATTATGCAAGCGTAAGTAAGATAAAGGTTGGGTCACTTTTCGGATATGGACATTTAATAACCTGTGAAGTTATTGTTTAGAGTTTGGGCACTCTGGCCTTGTTTTTATTTGTGGAAAATCCCGGCAACAAGTTGCATCGACTTGTTGCACCGTGAAAATCTGCCGCGACAGGCTAAAATTAAATAAATTGTGACGGGTCTTTCGTTTTCTGCTTAGGGTATTTTTCTTTTACCCACGATTGCCGGAAGTTACCGAATATCTCGTGATTCATCGACACAGTTTGGCATCGATAGGTACACTTACGTTATAAAATTTTGAACTTTTTCATTGATGCGGTTACCAGGGACGTGCGCAAAATGCCAACTAGAGCCGATTACCGAGAAGAAAAAAAAACAGGTAAACGCGTAAACATTAAACGGGCTCGCATCTTCCCTGTACACCCGTCAACAATTTCTCTTCGGGAAAAAAAGTATATATTTACATTCAAACGGCAATACCCTGTGCACATTTATTTTCGCAACGATTCCTATTTGGAACAGACGACAAAAAAAACCACTTGACCCACCATCTTGACGATATGGTGACTCCCCACCAAAGTCGTTTTACCTTATAGGACGCTTAATATCTACGAGAAACAAAGGAAAATGGAGCTACGTTTGATGAATCCCAACTGCGAGGCGCACCAAACGATAAAAAACTAAAGTCGCGGTGAGGGGGGAGGCGGGCGCGTGCCTCGCCCCCTCAATGAATTTGCACTGTCACTGGGTCTCGCTGTTCGCAGTTCTAATCTTGTTTATTGTGGCACGACAGTCGACGATACTTTTTAAATCAAGACGAAAGTTCATATAATCACCGTAGGTCGCGAAAAATGCTTAATTTTCTGGATTTGGTCGTTAATTTTTTAGCTGGCAAAAAGTAAAACGCCAGGGTTTGAACAATGCAATACAGAGAAAACAAACGGTTCCAGATTTTCTTTTGGATACATTTCTTGTCAATTTTTTGCAAACCTTGTTTTTATTAAAATTCGATACTGCGTTAGAAAGACACAAACCGATATGAAAATAAAGCGCCCCTTTGACAATTTTTCATGCGACACACACACGGTTGTTCAGATGTACGAGTTTAACTTGCAATTGCCCAAAATAACAGGCAACTGCGCTTTTAAATATAGGGAAAAAAACGCTTGTTACCTTCCATATACCAGTCTTAAGCATATTAGAACATTTTTCATATTTCCTGTCTACAATACGACATGCAATAATAATTGAGTTTATTATCCTTGCCCAATTTGAATTTGGTGTTTTTATAATCGGTATAAAAATTTTCAAAGGGAGTGCCGACCTACGTTTTACATAAAGTACCGTGGACCGTTAAAGATTGTACAATACAAAATTACGTCCACACATTTAGATAAAGTTTTCCGCTACGTTTCTCTCTTTCCGGTTTCGCTAGAAAAATAAATAAGTCGGCCCCGAAACGTCCGGTCGGTTCGGGGCCCCGAACGTTACCTATCCGATTGTCTCCGACGATCCGACACTAAGGGTGGCACCCCTTCCCCAACGACACTCATCCCCACCGGTTCAAACCCTTACTGCGAAGTTTATTGTTCATATCTTTCATTGCTGTCTTCTGTCCGCACCAAGTTCCACGTTTTAAGTCTTATGTTCTTTCTCTGTATGTGTGTATGTTAGTTTATTCTGACTAGTATACCTTTAACAAAAATATAATGAAACTTGGAACGTGTCCGATCTTGTTTAGCACTGTGTTACGCACTTACACCCCCACGCAGCACTTTTGCACTATATCACACGGTTGCTTTTTATAAGTCGTCCGAGTAGAATTGTACGTTCTGGTCTAATATGGATTCCCAAGCTGCGAAAAAAGAAGACATTGAAAAATAAACAGGTTTGAGGTGGTAGACAATCAATTCTGTAGAAATACTAAGAAATTGTCGAACTTCCACTTCTTGATAACGGATAGAAAAATAGAGGCAATGGAAGTTCGATAGTCTCTTAGCGTTTATATAATTTAATGGCGATGCAAAGACACTTCGGCAAGCTGCGGAAGACTTCTTCGAGATTCCTCTTGCGTCGGGTATTGACTCTGTCTTTGAGGTTGCTTGAGGCAGTCGTCTGAAGAAGCCATGCATGTTTGGCGAAACATCGGCGAGACAGAGTCAATATCCGATTCTTTATGGTGACGATTTTCTCTGTGAGAAATTAATACATACGAGGTGTGTTCAAAAAGTAATGTGGCCTTTGTAATTGGGCGGGCCACGTACACGTTGGTACACATGTCCCTAACATATGTTCATCACAGTTTCAGCCAGTTTGCACGTTTACCAGCATTTTCATAACTTACCGGACTGAAATCCTACACATAAGTACTTAAAAACACACTCTCTTGGATTGATAGTAGGTTTTTCTTCCATTATTTAAACAGATTCCAGACAAAATGGCCTTTTCCGACTCATATCGTACCTAAAACCGCATCAACACTGCAGATATCAGCGTAAACTATCATTTTTTGATCCAAACAGTTACATATTCATGTCAATATCTTTCAAATACTAGTCAAAATCGGCGTCTTCGGGCATTAAGAGTAACGCAAACCTTTATAAACCATTAGATATCGACGTAAAACCCCTTTTCTGAGTCAAATAGTTGCCAATTTCGATAAGATCCCCGTCAGAATCTGCTTTTTCGCCTCTTATTGCACCGAAACCTAGCTTAGAAATGCAGATGTGTAATGAAAATCCCTCCTTCTGGGACAAATAATTGGTTTTCGCCCTTGATTTATAGCCAAAACAGGCATTTTCATAACTTACCGGACTGAAATCTACATCAAAACTACAGATGACTGCTTAAAAATCCACTTTCTTGGATTGATAGTAGGTTTTTCTTCCTTATTTCAAACAGATTCCAGTAAAAATCGCCTTTTCCGAAACCTACAGTACCTAAAATCGCGTCAAAACTGCAGATATCAGCTTAACTATCATTTTTTGATCCAAACAGTTACATAATCATGTCAATATCTTTCAAATACTAGTCAAAATCGGCGTCTTCGGGCACTAATAGTAACGCAAACCTTTATAAACCATTAGATATCGACGTAAAACCCCCTTTCTGAGTCAAATATTTGCCAATTTCGATAAGATCCCTGTCAGAATCTGTTTTTTCGCCTCTTATTGCACCGAAATCTAACTTAGAAATGCGTATATATAATGAAAACCCCATATGGGACAAATAATTAGTTTTCGCTGTTGATTTCGAGCAGTTTACGATTTTGTGCTGTCAAAAAAGATGGAACCAAGAATTTGCATGAAATTTGGAAAACACTTGAAATGTAGACAACGGCATATGCTAAGACTTTTTCCTGTTCCCAAAACTCAAGAAACCCACGAAAGGAAGGAGTTTTGGCACGATTGAGGTGTGGAAAAAACGTTGGCACGAGTGTATTACGTCTGGGGGGAAGGAGATTACGTTGAAGGGGATAACATTAATTTTAATAAATAAATTTCGATAAAACTTAAAAGTCGCCTTACTTTTTGAACACACCTCGTCGTACATAACACAACCATATCAAAAAAGTATCGTTTAACTTATACATTTGAATTCATTGGACGTTTCCTAATTTTAATAATTTTTGTTTCAATTATATTTCTCACTTTACTCTCATATTTTCACTACGTCACTGCTTCCGCTCATAATAGGTTTGTTCTCACAGCTAAAGGCAAATAATCATGAAGATACCTATTTTGAACGGGGTTTTAGATAGTGACCGCTATAAGCGACAAGCACTCGGAGCCTTACCACTAGTTTGCAAAGCGCTCATAAACTTCATAAACAAATCTCCAAGATACACTCAATAAATTTTGTGATAAGATTTTCAAGGTATCACCAGGACCCAAAATGTACGAGAAACTTAAATGTGTGGCAATGTAAATACCTAGGCAATCAGATTTATGTAATTTGAATTGTGTAAAATTTTTGATTTTATTTTTCGTTTTTGTTTTGTGGTTTGTCGATTTCTGTGAGCTTTGTGATTGAACTTATAATGGAAACTTCTCGCGAACGGACAAATCTACGTCTTATGAAGTCCACGATTTGACTGGATTCGTAGAAACTAAAAGGAAAAACGAAAGGCGTGTGAGAAAAAATTCATTACTTTTTTTACCGACTATATAAATATTATTTCGTTATTACTTAAATGTTTGTCAAAGACAACTGTGTTGAGATTTTTGAAAATTCATTATTCATCTCTCAGCGAAATACCGTCAAGAAAGTATCAAGACATATTGCGTTTAATTTAAAAAGAAAAAAATACATAGTAATGATACATCTTTAGGTATATATATCATGTTTTATCTAATAGATGGCAGCACCATACTTTTTCGAATTTGAACACCGAAATTTGGTTGTTTGCAGTCGGTCATTTTGCAAATTCAGGAGTGTTTTGGTGGTAAAGACTAATTAAACAATTATCCAAAATTGTGGTCCGGAATAACCAACTATGATCATCCCGATTTCAACTTTTCGAGCAACCCTAAATGTTCACGTTGCCTGTCTGTTCAACGCATTTTACGAATTAATCGTCTGCTGCCTTTCCTTTGTATTTGATCTAATCTTGTTTGATAGCGGCGCAACACTCGCAAACTTACTAGAACTTATAAAGTTGACGATTTTCTCCAAACTCTGGGGTGTCAGAGACGTCTGCTCGGGCGGCGCCATATATCTCGCGGTGAAATCCTCTCCGACACTGCCTCTGCCTCCCCCTCCTCGATCGTCGCAGTCTTCCTCCACGCCGGTGTCCTCCTGCAGCAGCTGCTCGTTGATGTCGAACCCAAACTCGAGGCCGGGCACCTCTTTCGCGGTCCCGCTCAGGATTATGACGGGAGGGGGAGACGCGCAGAGGGGCGGAGGCTCCGGCGACATGTACACCGTTTCATCGGCGACACTGCTCCAAAAATAAATAAATAATGTAGCAAAGTACCATATATAATTTACAATAGAAAGCGCAAACTTTATAAAATAATATATAAAGTTAAATAAGTAATAAATAAAATAAATAATAAAAATAAACGATAAGGAATTAGTATATTATGCAACAAGTGCGGTAAACGGCATTTGACTCACGAGTTTATTGGCGCAGCGGAACAAGTGTTTAATAAACGAGTTACTTAAAAAGTTTACCGAACTTGTTGCATACTATACTTTTTCTACGACCGTTAGTTATTGGGTACATTTTCGCAAAACAACACAAATACATTCACTGACATGGCCGTCAGAATTGACAAACGTCAAAATTCAAAGCGTGGAAAATATCTCCGAAAACATCTGATTGCTCCCAAATCCGTGCGGTAAAATCGCGGAAATGTCCGAAGTGGCTCGGATCCGTGGGAAACGAAACTGACGTGGTAAAATGACGCACTAGATCGGTGGGTAATTAGGTATTTTACACACGGGAGAAGAAAAATACTTTTTACCGAATAAGATGTTACGGACACGAAAAAGAAGACGAGATATATCGAAATAGCTCGCAATGCTTATTTTTACATTTTATGTAATGGAAAAAAAAACAATTCGTATTAGAATGTCTATTAGTACAAATTCGAGAAATAGATTCTTTATTCCTCATATCATTAAAATGAAAAAAATTGGGGCTATATTTTTCTTTAATGATAAATAGCAAATTTTAGTTAAGATCTTTACCTACTGTTGATTTGAAGTTTAACATCCAAAACACAGTATTGAAACTAACTACTTTCTAATTAAGTTTTGGTTAATTCCAATTTCAAAAAGTAAATTTAATTATACCAAATGCGTTGTTGTGTATAAATAGTGTTGACGGGAATTCCCATAGAATATGATAACCATAAAAAATAAAACATAATTGCTTATAGAAATGGTACTTCAATTTTTATATTTTATATTTTTTATTAATAAAACCGATTTCAATACTAATTATTTGTTATTCTTTGAGGTTTATTACTGAAGCAATCTTTGTGTTGTGGATTCCTGCATTCTGAAACATCAATAACTACATTACAATTGCAATGGGCCAAATTAATTTCTACAAAAATTAAAAACGTTATACTTAAATCTTTAACACAATAAAATTGATTCCAACTGAACTACTAAATGAACTTTACACAAGAAACGTTCCACCTGTTAAAAAAGTGCAAGATGTGGTAAAACCATATAGCTACCAGAGATATAAGAGGCATATGCCGATAGGATAGGAAGTTCAAAGCAAGCCCTCATTCCTTCATCGCAAATCTAGTAATTGGAGTAAGTTGGACCTTTCAAATATACAATTATAAAAAGTACCAATGGATAATTTGTTTAAAAAACTGAAGCCATTGTATAATATAACAAAATTAAGTTTGCCATAATAAGTAAATAGGACATCCAAAATTGCCAACTGTGTATCACAGAGAATTTAATTCAAAGGGTGTCCAAATTAAATTTGGTAATGATAATTAATGAGTAATGCAAGCACAAGTCACCGAATCCTTCAATGTTACGCTTTCTCGACCATTTTCCACGGACTAGAGTTAGAGACATGGACAGAGGCAACTATAAAAAAAAAACATGTCCGAGCTAATGCGAAACGAAACACAAATAACATCTCCTTAAAGATATTCTTCGGGGAAAAATCTACGGCAAGATAGACCCGAGAGACCTAGCACATCATGGTTGGAAACATGGATTTCCAAAACATTATTTTATTATTCAGAGCCGCCGTCAAAAACTTCACTATAGCCAGGATAATCGCCAATGTACGGAACGAATAGTCACTTGCACTCTCTTTATCTGTACATTAATGTACTGGCATTTATTTCTTAGGCAGAAGAGAAACTGCGGAAGCCGGCTATGTGCGTATTTTTCCGCTCCATGTGTGGAATTTTTTACCGTAGGTCACTATAATATCTAACAACTATATGGGTAAAACCATATAGCAACTAGACATGCCTATGCCGACAGTGCGGAAACTCATGAAGCAACTATGTAATTTTTTCTTAGAAGGCCCGTTCAACATGCGCATGCGCCAGATTTAAAATTTCGTTTTTAACCAATACCAGCCAGCTCTAATGACTAATTCTAACGTAGGATCCATAAGACCTTGCGAATTTCAACAAACAACATGGCCGCTGACAGATCATCGGCGTTTGGATACGGCAAATCCTATCAAATTTTCAGGCAAAAAGCAGTGCGGAATTGCAGTTGTCGGCGTCAGTATAATTCTACAATTAATTTGGAATTTTCAAGCCCCGTTGATAGGGTGCAATTTCTACATGAATTTTTTTAAAATAAGTTATTTTTTTGTAAATCGGCGCAAAACGTTAGTTTTCATAAACTCGTAGGTCTAACCTCCATTGACGTTAGGTATCGCACATGAAACATCTAAGTGAAAAAATGTTCAAGAAGTACCTACTATAGACCGTAATTGAAATGCCCCTTATTTCTTATGCCTGTTCTAGTAAAGATTCAACTTAATTTCCTGCCATTCTTGTACGCTAAAACACACGAACATCCTTCGTGGCTATTTAAGTGTACTTAAAAATGTAGGGAATTCTGTTTAGTAAATTCACATGTAAATATTTGTCTATTTTACAGTTTGTTTCTTTAAGATCCTATTAGGTCTTCATATTTCCCACATTTGGTGTAATTTCGTAAAAGAACAAAGTATTGAAAGCACAAATTATACAAGTTTGTGAGTGCCGTACGGGGACATTGACGCTAAAAACGAAAACAACAATGGCACAGGGCAATAGTAATTATTTATGTCCGGATTTCAGAGATTGATGTTGCGTTCTTACATTTTTCCAGAAAAATTACGGCAATGTAGCTACTCAGTCAGTTGGGCGGGGATGCATGCGCAAAAGATCCACACCTTCTCTATGAAAATATAATAACCACCTGCGGCGCGTCAATTTTTATCCTAGTAGGACCACTATATTATCTTATATGGGTAAAACCAAGTAGTGCGCATGCACCTACCCGTTAACCATACAGCCTGTTCTCTCCTCGCTACTATCACAGAATGGAAAATCACTGGTTTTGGCGGAGATCGACGGTTGTCTTGGGGGCCTGGGCCGCGCCTGCGCGCTCTGCTGCGCAGGTTGAAAACTGTGGGTCGCCGCTTTTACGAACGGACTCGACGATTGGTGGCCGCTGTAATGCGGATTGCCGGCCTTGGGGCAGGCGGCAGCGGGAGGCGCCTGGGCGCTCTGTTGCTGGGTGGCGGCTTTCTGCTGTTGATTACCGGACGTTTTATGAAACGCCTGATGGTGGTGCTTCGGTTGCCCCGACGGCTGTTGCTGTTGTCCGAACGTCTGAAACGTGCGATTTTCAAACTGCCCGGGCAATTCTCGCCAAAACAGGACGGTACCTGAGACTGGACAGACTGCTGTCGCAGTTGGGGAGACGGCTGTTGCTGGTACGGGGGCGTGGCGACAGCGGGCGGCGACATGCACTTCATGAACTGCATCTTTTCGATCGTCTGGACGTCGGGCACATCCGGGGGCAAACGCTGCGCGTTGAACTGTAGCGAGTCCTTCGCCGACTCGTTCGCCTGGATGATCTGCGAAAAGAACTGGAATAAGGTATAGCGCGGGGGGTTCGAATGATAGATGGAGTCGGAGTTCCGACAACGAATGACCGGTTGGTTTGTTTGTTATTCAATCTCGCACTTGCTGATGTACGAGCACAAATGGTTATTGTACAACCAAAAATATAGTGCATTTATTGCTTTGACTTTTTAAGTATTTTACAGTACCTTAACTGAAGACCTTCACAGGACCGTGGTAAAACCCAGCCCAACGGATGTTTATTCTGCATTAAGTGGGTCTTGCCTGAGATGAACCGAAACGAATATTTGTAGAAACTTGAAATTTATATTTGACACATAAATTTGATTAAGCATTGATGCTTAGTAGAACTATTTATTTAAACATCAGGTGATACGTATCGTTCTCAAGAGTTTAATCTAAATTGCTATACGTTCGTATATATTACGGAGGTATTTGAATTTTTGATAGCATAACAAGACGGACATGAAATCTTGAGATTACCCCGTATAATTGTATATTTAACCCGATTGAGGTGATTTGGTCAGAGTTGAAAGTGCATATAAGAAGAAATAATACTGCACCAAAATTTAGTGATAGTACCATAATCGTAATTGGGTAAGAGGTAACTAAAATACCAGTACAAAACTGGTCTAACTGTGAAAAACGAGTAATGAAAGAAGAAAATATTTATCGAGAACGATTCCTGGCGGAGTTGGTTATTGAACTACGAGCCCTAACAACTAAATGTTCGGAAGATGTAAAATATGATAAAAAAGACATTTTTATATCTATTTTTTTTTTGCTTTGTCGATTGAATAATCAATTTACTCAAATTACATTGACGGTAAAATGTAGTGTGCTTAGATAAATGAGATGTCAGTTTGGGTTGTATCTTTCATGTTTGTATAATAGTTGATAAGAAAATGACGCGTGTTGTTGCAACAAACAAAAAAGTGCGAGAAATTATCATATCTCAGTACTGCAGAGGTAAATCAATGTAAAAAATTTCAAATGACTTGAGTATTGCAAATTCAACAGTCAGGGATATTATAAAAAAATATGGAGAGACAGCTAGTGTTAGCGTTCGTGGTAAAAGTTCAGGCCGGCCCCGTAAAATCACTGAAAGAGATCGTCGTATTCTCTTCAAGACTTGTAAAACTAGCAGACGAAGCGTCTTACGACAAATTCAAGCCCAATGGAATCACGAGGCAAACTTAAATGTCTGAGTTTTTATAAGGTAAGTTTACAATTTTTCCTGTTTCAATATAAAAATTGTTAATATTCTATGATCTACTTTTGTTAAAGGCAAAGGAAAAACCATTATTAACGTCTATTTAGAAGAAAAAACGTTTGGATTGGGCAAAATCTAAAATATCCTGGATACTCCACGGAAACGTGGAGTAACGGTATCTTCAGCGACGTATCAAAATTTGATGTGTGTGTAGGCGATTTTCGAAAAAGGGTTATTCGTACAAAATCAGAAGCCTTTCCCAAAGGTTGTCTAAAGCGCACGGTAAAATTTCCCCAGGATGTTATGATATGGAGGTGTATGAGTGGTAAAGGGGTTGGCAACTGCGAGTTCATTGATGGTACTGTAAATGCAGAAAAAGACCAACAAATTTTATCAAGAAGTTTGATTCCATCAATGGAAAGGAAAATTTTATATTTCAACAAGACGGTGCGTCCTGCTATACTGCGAAATCAACAAAAAAGTGGTTTGGGGACTATAATATGAAAGTTTTATCGTGGCCATCAAGTAGCCCCGACTTGAACCATATTGAAACTTTATGGCATCGGATGAAAAAGACTTTGCGTAACAATCCTCAGCGTACAGTTCCATCCAGCATTAAAGGTAAAAATCACCGAAATTTGGAACACTTTCACCCCCGAATATTGCAAGATTTTCGTAGATTCTATGACAAAACGCAAAAAAGCTGTTATTGCCGCGAAAGGTGATGTTACTTCTTATTAATGCTCCATTTAAAGTAAAAGATTTAAATGCGTGCGAATTTTTGTCAGCAAATTCGGTATGTTTTTGATATTTTGTTATGTAATTTATGTGAAATAAAAAAACAATTCATTACGATAGCACTTTTTGGAATGCGCAAATATAAAACAGTCGATGGACATATAAAGTTTTTATATAAATTATTAGTAGTGTGTATAAGTGGAACAGTTAGTTACTTTGTTATTTTCGATGAATCCGAACAACTTAGTCGGATTAAAAACATAAAAATATTGTGAATTCTGTGACTGTACTGCGGATTTGTTAAGCAAGATAAGGCTTCGCGATAAGCGTTACGTGGAAAGCGACATTGAAACGCGCAGCTGGAACAACAAAACTCCCACCTCCTCCCTCGTCCTACTCTTACCTCATTCCGCATGTCCGCATCACCGGACATATTGTCCCGAAGTGTCCGACCAGGCGCGCGCGTTAACGGACGTCCACAGCGGCACGCGGAAACACCGACGTGTCTTCTAGGGCGTCGCCCGATATCGACAACAAATTAAAACAAAACACCATCGTCCCGCGGACGAGCGAAATAACGTAGCCGATAACAAGCCGAGTGGCTGATAAGTTGCCAAATAGATGAACGCTAGTTTCCTATTGACAATGGCCGCCGGGCCCGATGACTAACGCGCGCTATAATGGTTTTTTTTTTAGAGATAACGTTTCGTATTTTTAATTTAGCACCTTGATTTTCGACCGGTAATGGTTTAAAAATAGTCGACGTTTATGATGAGGTCGTCGGGCGGTCGATCGCCTACCGTTTTAACGATTTTCGAAAAATTTCAAGTGTATCGCGGACACTTTGGCAATTTGCGTTACATATCAATTTTCAGGTATTCTTTGCCCAACCGTCTGTTGTAAAGCGAAAGGGACCATTCTTTTCGGCCCGTGTGCCACTAGCCAGGGCCGTATTTAAGACGCTAGCCGACAAGAACTGTGCCGTGCGAACTGTTGTATTTTAATAGTAGGGAATTTTTCTTCGATTAAACTGTTATATTAATTCATATTAGCGTGCTTTTTATAAATCTTCCGAAAACAGTTCCTACTTGAGTTGAATTTGTCCATTAGATAGGTTGATCTCCTATATTAAAATACATTAGAAAGCTTAAACCGACTTCTAACTTAAGGGTTTAACATAATCACTCTTCCTCATATAGATAATTGCTTTCTAATGGATGTTTTCCCAGTTCGCTATTGGTTGTTTTGGGGGGGTTGGTGAAATCGGAGTATGCTGTCAGTTTGATGAAACGGTATTTTCTAGACCGTCGAAGCTTTGGAGTTATCTCTATTCCGTCTTGTGTTTGAAATTAGTAATTAACAACTTACTGTTATTCAACTGTGTTTCTAGACTCAGTGTACCAATTTATTTCTAACCAAATACTAACATCACGATGTTCAGCGACAAAGAAGTTGATATTGTGGTCGATGACGTAATAATGGTTGATGAACATCCGTCAAAGTCATTGCCGGTTGCTGTCAAAACATCCGGGGCATAAAATTAACGCCCAAGATCACTAAAACACCGTATGCCATAGTTGCGGATGGTGTCCAAGAAAGAAAAACGCGGAAAGATCGTGTGGAGTCCCGAAAAGTCTCATTCCGGAATAGTGAGACAATTGATATATGATGCGTATCAGATGAACATTGTTTTAACAATTAAAACTACACGAAGAGTTGCGTAGTGTTTCGAGCACTGACTGTTTTTATTACAAAACCATCAATTTGATGGAATCAAGAAGAATTTCGGAGTGGAGGACCAAGATATTTGAGAGAAATCTAAGAAATTCGTGCAAAAAACGTCCACATCAGATATTCAGATGAGACCTGGTTTGATAGCCACGATACCGTCAAGAAAGGATGAACTGAGGGTAACGACAGGAAATCTTCGTTGGATGTGCCAGTTTCGCGGTTCAAACGAATAATCATAGTACATGCGGGCTCTGAAGCTGGTTGGTTGCTTTCTGCAAAATATGTCAAAGATACTACGAAAACATGACAGCAGACATCTTTGGAAAATGGTTTTCTGAAAAATTGGTTTAAAATACCCCACCAGTGTTGTCGTGATGGACAACGCCAACTACCATTCTGCGCAAGTGGAAACAATACCGAATTCGTCATCGACTAAGAAAAGTTTGATAACAAGTATAACGTGAACAAATTGGCCATGGAGCGGGGATTCAAAGTCTTCCATCATATAACTGCAATTTTAATCCTATAGAACTGATATGGTGACAGCTGAAACCCAGCTTAAGAAGAAACAACACCAAGCAGAAATTTAGTTCTGGGGCAATAGATTTAATTAGAAGTAAAGTAGGAAAAATATCTGCTTCTGGTTGGAAAAAATGTCATCGAAAAGAAAATGTTTACAGAAGTCGACTAGTGCTAGAATTAATTATTAATATGGGGGAACTTTTTTTTTTATAAATATTCTAATATTAATTTATAGCTAAATTTACTCCTACAGCATTTTAAAGTAAGAATGGATTTTTCACTGCATGGGCTAATAATATTCGATTAATCTCACCGAAGAAACAAAAATCCGTCAGCTTTCAGCATTTCTGTGCACCAAGTACCGAAGTACGGATCTGGAATATCATTGAATTGCGATTAAACCTTCATAAAAATTTACCAAAGTTAAATACCGGATTATGTCGTACAAACGGTATATCGTTACGACCTCTACGCGTTTAAAAATAAAAAATTGGCGATTAACAAACATCTCATTTGATTCGATTAAACTTAAATATAAAATAATTTACTACATAGTTCGTCTGAAAATTATTTGTTTTTTTTATTGACTTACTATCGGTCGCATTCACAAGAACATAGCGCTACCGTAGCGATGTCAGACGATCGGCTACCTATAGTGATCGCAATTTTTTTCGTCGTTTGTGTCATTTTTAAATTCATAACAAACGGTGTAAGTGTTATTTCGTCGAATCTTTGTTTCTAATAGTACAGGAGTAAATTTTTTTTTACACTTTAATAGTACACCAAGATATACAGTCAACC